GATACAAAAGTCACAACATAAAAAAGGAAAACAAAAAGTCACTGGAGTCATACCTTTATTTGGGTCAACTAAAATGCTGCAAAACAGTGGTGTGGTTTTGAGTTACGTAGAAGTCTTCTTCACACTTACTGTACAAAATCAGGCTTTGGTGGGGCAAGGCTTGGAAAGAGGGAAAAAGAGAAGTAGGTATTTCCCTCCCCTCTGTGAAAGCCAATGAAGAGCGGCAAGACCCAGGTTCAAATCTCTGTTAAAGCCATTAAAGCTCACTGGGTTACCCTGGGTCAATCACTATCTCTCAGCCTGAAATGCTGTGAGGATAAAACGCGAAGGAGAAGTGTGCACACCACCTTGACCTCCTTGGAGAAAAAGTGGGACGTAAGTGTAAGAATAATTCATAAATAAATAATGAATAACGATGCCTGAATCTTCCCCTCTTCCCTCCTCGAACCCTTTTCCTTTTACATGCCGCTTGAAGAACAGCGTTGGGGAACCCGAACACTTTCTCGCATCTTTTGCTTGGTCCTTTTATAGGCAATAAATATGGTAAATGAGCGGGGAAGACGGAGGCTCTTAACAGCCGCGCCAAACCTTCCCTATTTACCGTATTTACCGTCTCCCCTTTCTTTCCAACACTACTACCACCCTCCAGAAAGCAAAACAGAAACCCACCCCCAACGACCGCAATACACTGACATTTCACGCACCCTTTAAAGTCCAAGGAAAAGAAAAGGCGGAACATAAAACCCTTTCTCTTAACTCACCGGCTGGTTCCTGACAGAACGGACGCCTCAACCACTCAGCCGGACCCGGAAACACGGTCACCACCGGCTGGCGGAAGTGACGTGGCAGAAAGGGACTAGGGACGCGTGCGCAGAGAGAGGTGCTGTTTGTTTGTTTGTTTGTTTGTTTGTTTGTGTGTGTGTGTAGCGAAGGAGACGATATAAAGTTGGAGGGCGTGACCACTTCGGAGGCGTGGCTAAAGAAGAGGCCCCACCCCTCGCGTGACTGGAAAAGGGCGGATGTGAAAAAATGGAGGCGGTACTTGCGTCACACGTCGCGCCCCTTCCACTTTCGCCTCAGGACGACGTTCGAGGAGGCGGGACAGAGCGGGAGGCAGGCGCTTAAAGGACGCTCATCATGCATTTAAAGCACACGCTTAACTCTCACCCCGCAAAGCATTCTGGGAACTGTGGTTTGCCCTCACAGACCTACAATTCCAATAGCACCCTTAGCAAACTACTGTTCCCAATAAAGGTGATTTAAATGGGAGGCGTGTATGCAGGCTGTACAGAAAATGAAAGAAACACCATTTTGTTCTTTGCTGTTATATAAAAAATATTTTTCCTTTTTAATAAAGAGGTAGCTGCCTACACTTAAGTAAACTCGCTTCAAGTCTCTGCCAAAGCAGACTGTGACTTTTTTTTATTGCTGTCCTTTGCTTTGTGAGGAAAGTGCTGATTTGTTTTTGTGAAAGGGCTAATAAATTTTTATATGGTTATTATCTCTCTCACCTGTATATGTCAATTTTGTCATTCCCAACTTGGATTCAAAATATTCAATGGGCATCAGGTTATAAACACTCCAGATAAATAAAATAAATTTGGAGCGAATCCCCCCAAAGCGGTAGTCAACCTGTGGCTTTCCAGCTACTGTCGCTGGGGTCCCAACTCCCATAATCCCCAAGGACTACATGCAACATCTGGAGGGCTACAGGTTGATTATCTCTCACACCTCAACACTTTCCCCATGTAACACTAGGTGTCTTCCCTATTTCTAAATATAAAATTCACTGCTGAGGGCATTACACCATAGATTTAAATCACATAGCTCCCCCCAACCCAATAATCCTAGAAACTGTGGTTTACCCATCACAGAGCTACCATTCCCAGCACCCCTAACAAACGAGGTTTTTTAAGAGAATCCATATGCTTCAAACGTACATCACATAGTAACCACAGGAGGCTGCCTTAAGGTAAAAAGTAAAGGTAAAAGACCCCTGGATGGTTAAGTCCAGTCAAAGGTGGCTATGGGGTTGTGGTGCTCATCTCGCTTTCAGGCTGAAGGAGCCAGCGTTTGTCGACAGACAGCTTTCCGTTTCATGTGGCCAGCAGGTTTAAACCACTACTGGCGCACGGAGGACTGTGACGAGTGCCAGAGTGCACGGAAACACAGTTTACCTTCCCGCCAGAGTGGTACCTATTTATTTACTTGCACTGGTGTGCTTTCAAACTGCTAGGTTGGCAGGAGCTAGGACAGAGCAATGGGAGCTCACCCCATCGTGGGGATTCGAACAGCCGACCTTCTGATCAGCAAGCCCAAGAGGCTCAGTGGTTTAGACCACAGCACCACCCGGGTCCCCTAGGAGGCTGCCTTATACAAGTCAGATGCCGTGGCCCATCTATTATTGCATGCCCTCCAACATTTCTCCAGTGAAAATAGGGACATCCTCTTCAGTGAGACTAAAGAGATATATTTTTATAAAGGATATTTTCTTCAGTCAAAGGTGCTCTTTAAATCTCCACATTTCAGATGAACAGGGTGTTTTTTATAATCTGATGCTTTATGCATCTGCTTTCAGCTGCTCAGCTGCAGAAATGCAAGCTTCAGAGCTGGGTTTTAGCAACCTCATCAGGATCTCAGGCACTCATCAACATGATTTCCAGCTCCTTTTGCTGGCTGAGCTGCTTTTTATAGATCAGCAGTTGCAAAAGTCTCATGTCTCCCTCCCCTCTCCCACCACCACCTCCAATCTTTCTAAAATCAATAAAACTGCCTCTTTTGTGCTGGTTCATGGGATGTTTTGCTTTACATATTAATCTTCTATTCAGTGGCAGAGTCAATTTGCCTGCTTTAAAAAAAACAGAAGGGGTGTTTCTTATGAAACCCTTGGCAAAGATCCATAGCCATACTTGTTACAATTGCTCATTAGAAGATCCTTGCAGATGGATAATTATATATTTTGTGATTTTGTGTTCTAGTTTTGTTCTGTGAGCTGGCCTGAAACCTCCAGGGATAGGGTGGAATATATAAATAAATAAATAAATAAACATTTATCTCATAACAGCAGAACTCTTATTCATGCAGCACGTAGTTAAAACTATGGAACTCACTGCCACAGGAGGCAGTGATGGCCACCAACTTGGAGAGCTTCCAACGTCTCCTGATTGAAGTGCAGAGAGTTTGAGGACTGGACATTTGCAGGGAAACAAAAATGCTTGTTTATAAAGCTGTTGTACTACCAACCTTACTGTATGCTTGTGAAACATGAACCACTTATAAATGCCATCTCCAACTCCTTGAAAGATTCCATCAATGGTGTCTCTGAAAAATGTTACATCTCACTTGGGAAGACAGGCAAATAAATGCCAGTGTACTGGAAGAAGCAAATGATTCTTCAACATCAACTTTGTTGGAATGGTCATGTTGTGTGGATGCCTGATTATTGTCTTCCAAAGCAACTACTCTATTCTGAATTAAAAAATAGAAAGCGTAATACTGGTGCTCAAAAAAAAGACGTTTAAAGACTCTCTCAAGGCAAATCTTTAAAAAGTCGTATAAACACCAACAACTGGGAAACACTGGCCTACGAGCGCTCCAGTTGGACAACAGCCTTTATCAAATGTGTCATAGAGTTTGAAGATGCTCAAACTCAGGACAGAAGGGAGAAACATGCTAAGAGGAAAGGACATTTGGCAAATCCTCACCGTAATCAACTCCCACCTGGAAACCCATGTCCCCACTATGGAAGGACATGTGGATCCAAAATTGGCCTCCATAGTCACTTATGGACTCATTGTTAAGACCATATTCATGGAAGAAGCTTACTTGGCTACGAATGATCGCCGAAGAAGAAGAAGAAGAAGAAGAAGAAGAAGAAGGTGGGGACCCCAGGCCTAGGTCAGAGACAATGTGCTGGGGAGGAGTCTCAAGGAAGAGTTCTCAACCAAGCATTTTATTTATTTTTTTAAAAATCTTATTTATTGATTTTTTTACAAAAAAAAAAAACTTAACAAATGTTAACATAAACTGTAAGTTACTTTATGCATTTTCTTCCCGTCCTTCCCTTCCATGATTTCCATATTTACCTTTTTTTAATTAAAAAAAATATTGATGAAAGAATTCCAATTATAAATAAATAAAGTGATACCAAGGGAAAAAGTGGGAGTGGGGGGGGAGAGAAAAACGATGCATATACAAAAGAAAGAAAACGATATTTAAAAATGCAATATGATACACTGTCATACGTTCTTACATAAATTGATAAAGTGTTATTTACCTTTGAATGCGGCATATTTCACCCATACTATTCAATATATCCATTTTAACATCTCTTTTTTAAGCCTGATAGTACCTTCTCTAAGATCAAGGAGTTCCTTATATGTGCCCCAGTTCTCATTCACATTTAATTTATTGACTGGGCCTGCTTCAATGGGGGATCATGAGGACTTTCTTTCTAGGACATTTTTCAGTCTTGCCGAAACACAACAACAACAACAACAACAATTTATTATTTGTACCCCGCCCAGCTGGCTGGGTTTCCCCAGCCACTCTGGGCAGCTTCCAACAAAAGATTAAAAATACATTAAAATGTCAGATATTACAAACTTCCCTAAACTATAGATAGGTAGCCGTGTTGGTCTGCCATAGTCAAAACAAAAAAAAATTCCTTCCAGTAGCACCTTAAAGACCAACTAAGTTAGTTCTTGGTATGAGCTTTCGTGTGCATGCACACTTCTTCAGATACACTGAAACAGAAGTTGCCAGATCCTTCTATATAGTGAGAAGGTGGGGAGGGGTATTACTCAGAAGGGTGGTGGGAATGGGTGATTGGCAGATAGCTGTGATGAGCCTGTTGACGACTCTTAAAGACTGCAATAGGTCTTACAGGAAAAAGCAAGGGGTGAGAAAGTGAAAAATGGCTTTGTCATGTATAACCACCTTCTCACTATATAGAAGGATCTGGCAACTTCTGTTTCAGTGTATCTGAAGAAGTGTGCATGCACACGAAAGCTCATACCAAGAACTAACTTAGTTGGTCTTTAAGGTGCTACTGGAAGGAATTTTTTTGTTTTCCCTAAACTATATAAGTTCTTCTGTAGAACGCGGGTGAGGAAGCTGTTGCTCATACTTCAAGCCCTTCTTGCGTTTTCACCTCGCTGTAGCAACTCTTTATACTCAGTAAAAAGTGTCTAATCCCCAAAGTCACCATAAGGGTGTGGATTGAGGTTGCAGACGGTGTCTTTGCTGAGCTTCCTTTCCCAGCAGATGACATTCTTGTGTGGGTCTTCTTGTTTCCAGAGGCCTCCTCCCAGGCTCCAGTTGATAGGCTGCCATTTTCCAGCATGGATTCATTGTTTCATGCAGGAAAGAGAGAAAGGACGTTCTGTTAGAAGGGTACTGAATATCAGTAACGTTAGACCCTCTTGTTGCTCCAGAAATTATCACCGCTGATGGTGAATAAATAATTAAAAGGAGACTTTTTATAATGGAGAAAGGGAACCAAACTGCTGCTGGGGGGGGGGTTGCCTGCTCCCCCCATTCAAGAAGATTGCAGAGTCCTGCAAGGACCAGGACCCTGGGCAGGCAGGCAGCATTGGCGACACCTGCTGCCCCAGCTAGGCATACATAACTAACCTCTACTGGATTGGTGGGAAGATGAAATGGGGTAACCCTGTGCAAAGCTGCAAACAAAGCAAAGTGACCTTACTAGATGCTTAGCTGCCAGGTGGAGTACAAAGTGGAGGCCAAAGCTTTTGGGATGTATCCACCACTTGACTTGTGGGGCTGGATGGCAAAGAGCCCTCATTGTGGCCTCGAGAAGAGAAGAGGGTTAGAAGTCAAGAAGAACTCAGAAATGAGCTCTTCAACAGATTTCACCTTCCAGTGGCAGCTTTGGGGTGAAAGTGATCAGCCCCTTCCTGTTTCTGCAATTCTCTCAGAAGGATGTCCCACTGACTTCAGTGGGAGTCACTCCAGTTTGCTCCTTATCCTCTCCTCTTCCCTTTTCCTTTGGTTTCACCTCTGTTTGACAGCCACTAAGCCATTAATTTGGATTGCAAATGCTTGCGAGAAGCTCAGTGAGCCATGCCTGAGAGCCGGAGATGGACCAACAATCCAAAATGGTTTGGCTGCAAGATGGAAATAGAAAATGGGATGATGAAGGAGGAATGCAGTACTGTACGAATTACTGGTAGTTGTTCTCCAAAAGCTAGACAATCTCTGAAGCTCCTGAGAACAACCTCTCCCTCCTATTGAGTAAGTCAACCTTGTTGGCCCTCACCTTGGCCACCTTGGCCTCATCTTTGAAGTGAATGACAATGACCAGTTCTCGAATGGCTCCTGCAGTTGTTCTAGGAAGCAATTGGTCTCTAGCTCTGCCCTGAAGCAGCCCCAGAAGTTCAATGGCTGCTGCCTGCCCAGATGAAGTTTTCCTCACACAGGCAAAAAGCAAAAGAGATTATGTCTCTCATCAGAGCTGTTTAATTTCCCCAGCAGAAAAGGTGAGATCAGGCCCCTGTCCACTGGGGTCTTTTGAGGCTGGCCAGTCCCGTCCCCTCCCCCTGGTGCAGCATTGGGGGCAAACATGACTCTGCTCCAAGGCGGTGCCTGGGCATCTGTTTTCCATGCAGGCTTCCAAAAGAAGGTGCTCCAGAGGAACACCCCACATGCCAGAACATTTTCCTTGCATTCCAGTCACAACACCACCCTTCCTTTTCCAAAACAATAAATGGACCCTGAGGAGTATGGCAAGCCAGATTCACCAGGTCAGGACGGAATTGCAGAAGTCCTTCTGTTGAGGCTGGAAAGGGCTTGTTAATTGTTTTAGCAGAATGGTTTTAATGGTTTCACAGAATTAATATACTGCCTGATGCTAAAAACCAACCCAGCTCTCACAGCAGTAAACAATGTATTGAGACATTGTCATGCAGAACCCCATGAACAGAGGGACTGTTCATCTTTCAACCAAATTATTTCGTGGTTTAAAGATCCTATTCAGAATAAAGATGCCTAGGACCATTCCTCCTTAACAGTGTATTATGTAATGTGCAATCCAGAAAGCAGTTGTTCCATAATACTCACATGGGCAGCCAGACCGCAGTAGCTTACAGCCAGCATCTTCAGGGTACTACACGAAAGAAATACTCTTTTCAAAGATCTGAAAGGCCCAACAGTTATTCTTTTAGCACAGACTTGTGCTTGGCTGTGATTCGAATCTAAATCCCTCCCTCTCCCTCTGAGCATCACTTGCCATGTCAGAGTCCAAAAGCAGGGATATCCCTCTGAGGCTGAGCTTCCAGACTTGCGGGTGATCATGCTGCAGCCAGGTGAGCAGGTGGTCCAGTGCTTGCTTTCAGGGATAGACTCACATTTGGTAGTTAAGCAGCTCAAGAGACCCAAAGAGAAAGAAACTCTTTGGTGACGGGATAGGATGCTTTCCTTGTACAAAACATTTCCCAATGGAGGTTTAGACAGGTTCTCGTTTTATCCACCATCTGTAGTTTTACAGATGGAGAGTTGGATCCAACTATGTTTTGCGCTGAGCAAACCCACTGAAGTGAATGGACCTAAGTAGCCTTGACATGAGCCACAGAATATTTAAGGTAAATGAGTACATAGTAGGGGTGAGGTCCAAATTCCAAAGAGGGCATGTTAGGGAACCCCCATTGGGGTTGCCGTCTAAATTGGGGAGGGCGGATGTCTGCTATCTGCATCCAGAGGAAAGACTTTAAATGTGGAATCTTGGGAACGATACTTCTTGGAGCCAGCCATAACATTAGAGGAAGGCCTTTTGTAGGAGATTACAATTGCCCCTCCACTGGCAAAGATCTCATCAATAAAGATGCCTTTGCTACGTTCTATTGGGCAGAGACCTTGCTTGGCTTTGCAGTCTCTTCAATGTAGCCAAAGATGGCATGATTGTGGCATAGGGATCAAGAATGGGGCCTTGGGGGACCCTCTACTGTTGGTGGGAACAAAAGAGTTGAAACCAAGCAGGGGTCTCCTTGCTCCAGCCACTTTCTCCTGTGTCAGTACCCCACACCAGAACACCAAGAACCAAACTGGAAAACCACATTTACAAGGCTCCCCCAGAAGTTGATATTTCCAGAAATTATGAATTATGCAGATCTGCCTTGACATGCAAACAGAATCAAATTCCTTCCGCATCCTTTGCTCCCTAGTAGCCACTTGAAGGATAGTCTCCCTTGGAAAATCAAGCTGGACAAGAAACACCATACGCTGAAGGAAAAGGGACTTAATTTGTCCCTTTGCAATGCACTACCGAGTTGAGGAATTCCTGGGCAGGCAGGAAGTTGGCAGCTATCAGCAGCTGTGGAAAGTGATGGCGCACAGGTACCTTGTATTCATCCATCCTGCGAATGGTGTGCAACAGGCTGGTCAGGTGTTGCTGGGAGAGAGAGAAGTGCAAGTCACTTTCCCTGCTATTCTGCAGAATACAGAAACCCCTTGATATTACTCTGGGGAGAAGAAGCCAGAAAGCAGGGGATTCGTCCTTACCACAGCGGTAGCAGATGGAGTAGTTGTTGTTGGTCAGCCAAAACCTCCTGCCATATTCTCTTGCAGGAACAGCAACAGTCAGATCTCTTGACTCAGGGATGGCACATTCTTGCAGGGAGGGGACCATTTGGTTCTCTGGGCAGTGGTGCGGGGGCCAGAAAGGCGCTTTGGCTCTAAACCTGACCCCTCCACAGGTGGTCCGGCTCCATCAGGAACTCTACTGCTTGCTGCCATGCCACAGAGAGGAAATGGCTTGGTCTTCCCTGGTCTCCTGCACTCCAGAAGGATCTGGATCAGCCCCTCTGTGCTGCTGCATCTCTGCAGATGGCAAAAAGAGAGGGGGAACCTGCACCAATCTCACCCCTTGCTGCCTCGCCTAGAGGACAGAGGCCTGTCCCTGCCTTCTTGGCTTCTGCTCTGTTGCTCTTCCTGTTAAAGGACCTAATCCTGGCTATGGTACCACAGCGGGAGCCCTCCAAATCCTCTGTCTGTTGCCATGAGGCAGCAAATCAGCTGGAAATCCAGAGGAAGGAAGAGATTTGGAGACTGGCTGCTGACACTGTGAGGACTGGGTTCCCCAGCTGCCTGGCCTCCCCCCTCAGGGAGAGAGTTACTTTCTGAGCAAGCCCTGCAGATTCCCAACATCTCTCTTAGGCCAGTGGAAGCTTGAGTACCCCATACATGAAAGGAAATTGGAGGAGGTGTTCAACCACTTTCTCCAGGTGATGATAAGCTAAGATGGCCACTTCTCTGCTCTCCATTGTAGACCTTGGAGTGATCTTCTGGAAGGCCTCCAGCAGCACCTCCACCTGTCAGAGATGAAGGAGAGGGTCACTCAGATGGTACCATGAGGTGGGGCAGTCTCAGGACCCTTGGGCTGAGGTTCTTGTTCTGACATTGTGCGGCCCCTCCCAACAAACATGTGTCATGGCCACCCAATGGCATGGGGTGGACTCCCCTACTTCAAGGCGGAGATTCTTCTCTCCTACCCTGGCAGCATCCTACCTCCACTGCTTTGCCGCTGAACTCTTGCAGCAAGTGGGAGATGTCCAAGGGCTCGAAGGTGCTCTCAGCAGCAAGGTCACTGGCCAGGAAGCACTTGGCCTCCAGGAGCTGCTCTGCAGGAAGGAAGGTGACCTGAAACAAGAGATGAAGGTCAGAGAGGTCCACAAGGAGAACACATTCATTCATAGCATTTGTACTCCTCTTTTCAGCCAAAAAGGCTCCCAGAGAGGCTTATACAAAATCAAAAACAAGACATTCCCTAGTCACAGGCTTACATTCGAATAAACAAACCAACAAACACAAACAGAAGCTTCCTTTGACCTTTGATAGCTCTTTGCCAAACTTGGTGATACCATTATTTTACGTCCTAAAGCGAAGTCCTCTGGAAATGCCAACTTTCACTTACCCCCAGGAGTCTTTGAGATGCCCTATTCTAATCCAAATAAGCAAGGGTCACTACAGCAAACCTCTGCCAACCTCTCCACGCTGAGGATGCTAGAAACTCAGTTCAAACAGTCACTGCCTCCGTTGCTTGGTGACATGGAACGCACGACCACCATGCCAAGATTCCAGGAGAGTCCATGTGGCCGAGTGGTTAGAGTGCTGGGCTTGGACCTGGGAGAGCAGGGCTCAATTTCCCACTCGGGGCAGGAGGAAGCTATAGATGGCCCCCTGAGTTCCTTGGAGTTCAAGGAGGAGCATAGGAAGTTGCAGTGTTCTGCAGTGTTTGCAGCAAACATGAAAGCAGCACAAAAAGGAGACCAATACGGTGCCATGGATCAAACGTGGGACTTTCTGCATGTGAAGCAGGTGTTCTGCCATCAAGCTTTGCTCTTTCTTCGGATATATGGAGTTTTGCATTTTGGTTGGAAGCAACCCAGAGTGTCATCTAGTCCGACCCCCTGCAATGCAAGCCTCAATGTATTCAATACTGTATGTGTTTCTTAAATATGTATATTTTAACTGCTGGTTTTATTAATGTTTTGATTATTTTATGTCTATTTACTATATAATTACAGTACAACTAACTAAATAAAAGAGAAACGTAAACAGTATTACAGTTTGCCAAGCTCATTAGCTTTTTTAAAATTTGTAATCCACAGTTAATAGTTTAAAAAAGTGCTGATCTATACAAAGAAAGAAAACCACCTCCCTCCCCACCCAAGTCTAACATATGATGTAACAGGGGTAACTACCTCTTTCTCTCATGAGTTAGCATCCCTTCCAAATCATTCCCCGTTTCAAGCTCTTCCAACCTGTCAAGAAGGGCTGGGGCAGAGGTCCCGCCAACTAAGGGATCAGGGGCAGTTACACAGGCAGAAGGCCCCAGCCAGGGTCCAATCCATACTTAACCTTTTTGGACCCAGTCTCTCTGCAAAGCTGCTAAATATTCTTCCAAAAGTTGGTGTTGGAATCCGTCTTCTTCGGGAGACAAAATTGAATCTTGATGTTTTACTGTCAATTCAAAGGCCCGCTAGGCAGCGCTGTCATTGTGCTGGGAGCCTGTCTCCACGTGCAGGGGGAAAACGTCCCCTGTAGCATCATTACGGTGCCTCATGTCACAATCGGCCCCTCCTTTGTTATCCCCCACCCCGCGTGAGTAAGTGGGAGCTGCAGCCTTGATGTCGATTTGCCCCAGGCTGAAAGGCGCTGACTTCCAAGCAGGCAGGCAGGCAAGCAGAGCACAAGGCGCCCCGCTGGAGCCCGCAGAAAAAGCTCGCACGCAACCCAGGAGCAGGAGACGCCCCTGCAGATCATCGCTTCCCCGCAAAGCCGCTTGCCACCCGCGGCTGGATCCCGCGGCTAGATCCGGCCGCCGGGAAGCAGCAGGTGAAGAAGGGGGCGTGGACGCAGCTGCCCCCCCACCACTCGGCTCCTTCCTCCCCTCCTGCTGCCGGGCAAGGGCGCCCCGCCGGATTGCAATGGCACTTCTGCCCCGCTGCTCCCCCCCCTGCTCCCCCCCATCTCCCTCCTCTGCTCTAGTGCAGCAGTCTCTGCCTCGAGTCGGCCGCCCTCCTTCCTCGTCCCCCCCCCCCAGCCAAGGCAGTCCCTCCAAGACCCCACCGCCCCCTGCCTCCCAACAGAAGGATGGTACACATGAACGGCATGGAGCTGAGCGCGCCGGACTCCGCCCGCAACGGGGCGCTGCTCATCGGCGGCCAAGAACGCGGCTTCGAGCCCGGCCCCTTGTTGAAAGGTCCGCCCCCCTCCCCCGAGGAAGCTGCAGCATCGAAGCCCTTCCGCCGCGCTAGGCAAGGGCAGGACAGCGGTGTTTGCCCGCGCACTTTGGAAAGCGGCGGCAGCTCTCTGTCTCCTTTCCAGCTAAGCGAAAGCGGGACATTCCCGGATCTGTGAATTCGCGATGTCCCGGGACATTGGGGCATTTGAGGGGGTCAGCTGTTGTCTACCCTAGGGTGGCAGGAACATTGGGCCCTCCAAGTGTTGCTCAGCTCCAAAGCCCATCAGCCCCAGCCGGCAGGGCCGAGAATGAAATGTCACTCTGGTCCCAAGATGGCCATGCAAGCCACCCCCCAAAAGCCTTTTGGATTGCTTCCCTCATATAGTTTCATGTTTAGCCCATTTCTCGGTAGAAATTTCCAGGTTATTTTCATTTCTAGAACCAAATTTAAGATATCTGCTGTCATTGACCAATGTGTGACATCACAGGAAGAAAAAACAGCACAATGTACTGCTAATGCAGGTGGGTTCTTTGGTCTCTAATCCAAGGCTTTAAAAAAATCCACCAAGCCTGGCATTTCCTACTATTTTTCACAAGAATAAACTGCCTTGATTTTCAATAGTCATAATTACTATATATTGGTAGTATTCCCCCCAAAACCAGTTTCTGGGGAACAGGAGGAGAGTGTTTTAGTTCGTATGTCCTGTTTATGGATGTTCCATAGGCATCTTGTTAGCCACTGTGAGAACAGAATGCTAGACTATATGTAGGCCTTGAGTTTGATCCAGCAGGGCTCTTATACTTTCTTTAAAGCCAGAATGTAATGAGATTTATTATTCATCAACGTGGTTGAGAATAATAATGATAAACAGTAATGATTGAGTTTCATTCATTAAAATGTGTAGCCCACCTATTCCTGAAGGCTGAAATGCACACTTTTAAGCAAATATGTTTATTGTATATTGGTAGTACATATAATTTGAGTGGGTCTCAGATACAAAATTCATGTACAATAATTCACAACCGATGAGTGTACTCACATTTCAAGCAAACATTAACCAACGTGAAAGCCTTAAATACACTGACAGCAAAACCCCAGAAATGTCATATCCTTGTTACTTAAACACAACATAAAAAGCATTTTTTTACAGTATTTTGTTCCCTTGATGCTATGTTAGGTCTGTAGAGAGTCACAGTGTTAGATTGCAAATTTTATTTAGTGGAATTGTCTTCCCAAAAGCAGTAAACAGAAGGGAGTGGCAGATGCGCCAAATTTACAAAAGGTTGCCACATGCCCAGCTGTTACTATCTTGCGGAGATAGCTTTCATTGAACCCTTGGGAAAACACATCTGTACAAACCACAGCGCGGATTATAAATATCAGGCAACAGAGAAATGTCAGATGGGACAAGAACGGAAAACATCCATGGTTGGGCGTATGGCTTGGTAATTTAGATGCATTAGACACACAAGCTTTGTACGAGAAAAGGGAAAGAGAGAAAGGAAAGAGAATGAAAAAGAAAAAGATTGGGTTTCCACACTGATGGGGTGTGTAATGGTGTGTTAACTCTTGGCAAAGGGGGAGGGAAGCCATTTAGAACCTTGTAAACAAGAATGACCCCTGATCTTCTCAGCATCAGAAAACAAAAGCATCACATCACACTGGTCAGATCAGGAATGTTGTAAAAATCTCAAGTCATAACATAGATAGACTGGCACCAAAGACGTGGTTATGTAACAAATGTAACAGTGGCTTTGTGAACCGTTACAGGGGTTCCCCTACAGCATCATCACATGCACTATGAACTAGCAGCACTGAGAACAGGTTAGGTACATGTAAAACGCTTGTGCTTCAATCCCTTTGAGAAAGAGATTCTAAGAGATACAGCTGTATATTCCCTACAACTGGCATCACAGTTCAATAAACATTTCAACCACAGACAAGCATTTGCCACAGATTAAAAATTTATCTTGTTTTTACCACTAAGAAGTCATGTTATTAGTTTCCAAATGAAGTGTTGTTTTTAAAAAAGAAAAAAAGTAGGCATGTTATTTTCTAATACAAGCTTATTTATTTGGTGTGTTTTTTAATTGCAAGTTTGTTAGCAATGTGGGGAATGTGTCATTCTAGGTAAAATGTTACACCACATCGCTTGACTTCAATTTAATGTTTGCTAGAATTTCAGCAGGGATCCAATCTCACTAAGACTAGCACTGGAGTTTGAAACTTGATTTCTGTGTATTCATAGCCCTTCCCAATTTAAAAGCTGTTGGTGTTGTCCAATATTTTATTTTATTTTTTAAAAAGCTTGCTGATGCATATTAGTTTAATCCTTTCCTTCAATTGTGCGGCAGGGTTCAGTGCTATTCTTAATCTATTGTACATAGGCTTCCTGCTGCATTATCCAAAACATGCCTGCATGAGCAAAAGATGAGCAGAATCACCATAGCAGAGAACATACTACTATTTTTCTATAGTCGAACCGAGCATCTGCAGATCTAGAAGCTTACAAGGCACACATAAGCAAACGAAAGATGCATCAACATGCAAAAATGACACAGAAATCGGAGGCTTAAAGATCCACAATAGAATCAGTAATCAGGCCTTAGTGGTATTTAAAATTCAAAAGCCACCAGTTAAAAAAAAATAAAGATAGAATCTGACATCTAATTTCAATGCATTGTTCAAGGAATCGTTGCTTGTAGCATCATTACAAGATGTCCAACTGTTGCTTGTTCATCACTGTCAGCTTAGCCAGAAAAAAACTGAAATAATAAGCAGTTCCTAGCTTAAAACCAGCCTGCTGATTACAGATGCATTTACCTAAAAGGCACACTTCCTCCTAAGTAATCTTTCAGTTTTTCCAGAGAAATGCAAAAATGTGCTCTATTCTTAGAGGAAGCAGTAGAATGTTTATTGTTTTTAATTATCTCCTTATCCCCTTACTCATCCTCATTTGGCTGCGTAACAGGACAAGAAGGTGGAGGAAGAAGAGTTGGTTGTTGTGCTTTAGGCTATGGCATAGTCGGGGCGGGGGGGAGCCCTAACTTCTTGTGGCCCTCCAGATCTTCTTGGACTCAAACTCCCATCAGCCACAGGCAGCATAGCCAATGGTCAGGAGTGATGGAAGACGGGAGTCCGGCAATATGTGAAGGATCACAGCTTAACTGATCCTGGCCTAGATATGAGCAATTCTAAGGAAGCAACAGAAGGTTAGTCCATCTTCTGCTTCTGCTGCCCAGCTTAAGCATGGCTTAACAACAATGATAAAAGGGCTAAAGAAGCCTGCACACTGAATGCTGGGAGCTTCTCACTTGGCAGCAGATGCATATTTTCTACTTAGTGTACATCTCACATTTACTTCTTGCATATGCTCTACTGTTTCATTGGAATTTGCTTCCAAGGAAGCATAGACTGAAACTTTAGACATGGCTAAATACAAAATAGATTCTAAATGAGAAACCACAGATTCCAGGACAAACTTTGTTTCTGAAACTTCAGAGTGAAGTGCTGGCTAGGTTACCCTTGGAAGAAAACAAAGAAGACCCACTTTAGATGCGAGAACTATTCTAACAAATAAGATTAAATGGGTACCTTAGTTAGTGCATTACATTTACATATCATTGGGTGCTAGCACAGCAGAGCAGAAAGAGTGAATGAAAGTCAGCCTTATTCTCAAAGCATTTGTTCAGGATTCTGTTTAACACAGGAAGTGTAGAGATTTGCATTCCAGAGGATCACAAGGCAAGGCTGAATATTAACTTTGTCTGATAAGATGATCAGCAAGTGGTAGATTTAAAATTGATTAGAGTTAAATGATCTGTACCTTGAAGTTTCCTGAACCACTAGCATATTCAGCAACACCAACAGCAATAACCACTTAAGTTGATTGCATGCTGTGGTCACAAGTCGGTCCAGTTTGGGTGTCCAGAGCACTTAGCCTCATCCTTCATTGTAGAGATTTTGCTACCAGCAATAGCTTTGCAAACGGTCAAGGGACAGCCAGTGGGCCTCAGCATCCCACCTACACCTCCCCCACCGCCAGTAATGCAGTAGCCTTTTGGCTAGATGGACACTGGCAATAATAATAAAGTAACAATACTTTTATTAATACAAATGTAATAAGCTGGGATTAGAGAGGAAAGGGGACAGAGAGAGAGATGCTAAAGCAGGAAGTGAATGTAAAATCTTCAGGAAGATATGCTAATTCAGAAATCTTCAGACAGCAAATGTCACTGTGGATCCAGACATAGCCCATCCCAGGCTCCTCCTGTCCGAGCAAAGTGTGAGGAGACAAACCTCAAGCCCTGCCCAAAATCCAGAGAGATTCAACCATGAAGGCAGCCATTTCTGGGAAGACATGTAGGAAGTGGGGGAGGGGAGAGTGTGTATTTTGGACTAGCGGGGTCACCAGGAAGTCTGTGGAGAGAAAAGGCCACTTTGCCTTAAGTCCTGAGGAGTGGGGATGTACCTGCATATCCAGCATTTACTTGCCTGATTTTTCCCTCTGTTACTGTGTGAGGAGCCCAACAGGCCCTACAGAAGTTTTTCTCCAGACCAAAACGACTTATACAGTGGTACCTCGAGTTACAGACGCTTCAGGTTACAGACTCTGCTAACCCAGAAACACTACCTCGGGCTAAGAACTTTGCTTCAGGATGAGAACAGAATTGCGTGGCGGCAGTGGGAGGCCCCATTAGCTACAGTGGTGCTTTAGGTTAAGAACAGACCTCCGGAACGAATTAAGTTCTTAACCTGAGGTACCAGAGATGGTTTGGGCAGCTCATTAAAAGGTAAAGGGACCCCTGACTGTTAGCTCGAGTTGCGGACGACTCGGGTTGAGGCCCTCATCTCGCTTTATTAGCCGAGGGAGCCGGGGTACAGCTTCCGGGTCATGTGGCCAGCATGACTAAGCCGCTTCTGGCGAACCAGAGCAGCACACGGAAACGCCATTTACCTTCCCGCCAGTAAGCGGTCCCTATTTATCTACTTGCACTTTGATGTGCTTTTGAACTGCTAGGTTGGCAGGAGCAGGGACCGAGCAACGGAAGCTCACCCCATTGCGGGGATTCGAACCACCAACCTTCTGATTGGCAAGTCCTAGGCTCTGTGGTTTAGACCACAGCACCACCCTCTTTAGGGGCCCTTTAAGGGATTTCATTTCTGTCACAATTGACAGAAGCAACAAAACAAACAAAAATGGTGGGTCCCCGTTGTAGTCCACCCCTCCCCCATTTCCTAGAATTCCCTCTGCAACTGAGTTCTTAAAGAGACAGTAACTCTTTTACCAGTCCCAATAAATTCCTCCAAAAGAAAAGGAACCTGACAGAAGCAGGGCAGGACTGGAGGGTGAGATGGTCCTTCACTCTGGAAGAGGAGGCAAAAGACTTGAAAGACTTGAAATGCCTTGGAGCCATCCTATTAACTGAATGCCCTCCACTCCTCTCTGGAAGATGGCACTGCAGGAGATGCAGCACAGAAAGGCTGCCTGTGTCTGGTGATCGAATTACAATACAAGGGTTCACCCAGCTGCAGAAATTTATGTGGCAAGACCTCTGAGTATTATATGATGAAAAGACCTAAGAGGAAAAAGCAGACTTTGAAACAGTATGCACAAGAGAGTATGCTTTGGAAGTGCCTATATTTTTTTTAAAAAATGTGAAGTTCATTAAATGAAAAAGGGAATCAAACCCTAACACAGCAGGAAGTCTTGTCCAATCCCTAATCCCCCCCCTTCCACTAAGCATAAGACAACAACCAGGATTCAAAGCAAGTTCACAGGGGGACATGAACATCAATTTCTATTTTTGGAGATCCACCTAAATTCAAGACTACTCTCAGCTTTTCCTTTTGCCTTTCTAGTCTCCAAGACGTGTCCAAGCAGCCATTTCAGATCAAAATATCATTTCTCTCCACACTCACAAAAGAGCAGTTTTTCTATTTGGAAACCATTACTAAAATACACTGCAAAAAGCAAGTTATGGCTTTAAGGGTCTCAACCAGAGCTAATTTATTATTGCCATGCCAGCACATAGCAGTGCTGTAATATATTCAGAATACAGTTAAGTGCTTGAAGCCCCAACAAACTCTAAAACCTACTGCTCAGTTTCCACCAGAACCGCTAAAGCAAGAAGGCGGGAGAGCTTCCCTTTTTCCTGGGTTCAAATCTGTGAAGTATTACAATATCAATCTATGTTGAAGGAAAAGCTCACTTGACCAAAGGCTACTACCGCACTGGAGGCAAAAAATCTATGTAACAGGTGCTAGTCAGGTTTGCATATTTGAAAGTAGGGTTGCATGGGCGTAGCAGGAATTTTTTTGGAGGGCAGACCTTTTGTTGGGGGGCAGCTATGTATTTTTATTGTTATTGATTGGGGGGCAGCTGCCCCTCACTGCCCCCCTTGGCTACGCCTATGCAGGGTGGGATCTGCATATGCAGAGCAATGTCATCAAGGACATCATGGAGAGGCAGAGAGATATCAAGAAGTGCCAAGACTTAGGCTGCAGGATAAGGAAGACTTATTACTAGACTCTTCATTCTTACATCTCTGCTTTGGCCAACAGTACTGTTTCGCCTCTCCGGTATCAGGGCTTGTTTAGTATTACATGAACTACCTACATTTTTTGCTCTGTGGTATATTTCGTGTATGTACAAACACACCATGGGGGGGGGAATATTGGTGGTTTATGTAATACTGATTCTATACTTCATATCCATAAAGAGCTGTACCATGTGCTGAGAACATACTCCTCCTAGACAAAGTGTTGCTGGAAACTTCAACCCAACAATGCTGGCTCAAAAACAGCTAGTGTATTGGCCCATATTGAAAATCAGCAGATAGTCTCCAGAGTCTTTTAAATCCTTGAAACTATTGACTGTGATCATTTGGCCCTTCAGATGATCACTGGCCAGGTTGGCTGGGGCTGATGGAAGTTGGAGCCCAAAAACAACAACTGGATTCCCACACCTTCCCCATCTCTGACAAAGCATTTTCACTGCCTTAATTTGTCTTTCTGGATTTTAAAGTTGACTGCACCAAAATAATAAACAGTTGACTCACAACTTACGCACACAGAGTTTTAAGCACTTGGCCAAAAAACCCCCAAAATAAATTATAAAGGGGGCAGGTGTTTGGGGGAAAATATGTTGGCAATCCCACCTGACATTGCACTCACCTTGAGAGAGTGGTCAGAGGGGCAGGGAGAGTTTTCAGAGGCCTTGGGAGAGTACAGGTGGCCTTGGGATGGCATTTGGAGGTACAGAAGGAATGGGTTGTGTGTGTGGGTTGTTGTTGTTTTTTTACTATACATGATTTTGGCTTTGTGTGCTATACCCGCAACATAATCTCTACATAAGTTGAGAGTCGATTGTACAAGCAAAACTGAGACAAAATGTTCCTGTTTACAACCTGTGCCTTATGTAGGCATTAGAGAAGCCAACTTTTCTTTACCCAATTTCAGCTAGAAACATAAACTACAATGCCAGACTTACTTATCCACTTAAATCTAAGTTGTTAGTTGTTTTTTAAAAAAGAAGCCGTTCAAATAGAATGTAGTACTTTTGTAGAATATATGAAAGGGGGGGATCTGGATACAAAGACCAATTCATCTGGTAAGGTCTTTCAGTATCTCTCCATCATATTTTTCTAAATTTAAAGCTAGTAGCATAATTTCAAAAATGGATAATGTCTTCATCCAGCCGAGTTGTTCCCTTTGCTTGATGTGGAGATCAGCCCAAATAGTACCACATGATCACTTGAGCATTTCCTTGAGCAATATGTGGTATGGAAAAGGAGAATGGTTGCCTGCCTTCGATTTCAGCAAACATTCCTTGCCACATCCTTGTGGACACAATGATAGGAATATCCTGTATCTGTGTAGTTGGTACAGTGAAGGGTGTCCCTCACTATTCATTTGATTGTCCTATACGTAACAGGGCCAGAAAATACTTTCCTCAACTCTTAATTTGGTTTGATTCTATATCAAGCCTGCAGATCTTTGCAGGCAAACCATCAGGCTTGTTACAGAAAAGAAGCTGCAGCAGAAAATATCAAGATAAGATTACATCAATGTGGTAGACTGGATATTCTTAAAACAAAATTGTAATATCTGTCCTTATTTGCTTTTAAAAATATAGTCCTTTAATTATTTGAACTTTGCATATCTGTTATGCTGGACTGTGTATGGCTGGGATCCAGTTTTAACCTAAATCTACAGTTAAAGCAAAACTTGAACAGAATACAAAATGCAAACTCTAAAACAGAAATCTCATTTCCAAGCTTGTGGACACAAGCTATTTCAGCTAAAATGAGGCAACATGGAGTAAGGTAAGTCAGAGCCAACTGTGGAAACTGACGTATGATCACCACAGGTGACCAGAGAAACCTTTGGACCTTGAAAAGGAAGAAACCTTGGCTTCCAAAATGAACACAAGTGTTCCATATTCTTAGTAAATTTCCCCTAAGAACCATTTGCCATTTAAAGACTACTCAGAGGTACATCGGCGGTAGAGGGAGACGTATTGGCACCAGAATGTTTCAGGGACGTCAGTGTGTGTCCATCATCACAAACCTTTGGTTTGCAAACAATACAAGGTCACAGTTCAGTAAGAATTAGATGAAATACTTGTCCCGAGTTTAAGGCCTACACAAGTCCCTAATCTGTTTTTGGACAGTGAAGTCCTCCAATAAGAAATTCACATTGCTGAAACTAGGCTTCTGAATTATGGACCCATGAAACCACTGTCTTGAGCAACGGCACTCTTAATTATGCTCTCTTGCAATAGAACAAATTCTGCTCAGCACCTATGCTTAGATTTTTTTTTTAAAAATTCCGTATTCACATGGTTCTCAAGCTACCCACACACACACACACACACACACACACACACACACACACAATTTACAAGAAGCACCCTCCACAAGCTAGCAGACTGTGCATATAATACATATAACAAACACCTTTTACCTACACTGTTGTTATTTTACTTTTTAAAAAATCAGGAAAATGGGAGCACCCCAGGGAAAAAATGCAGCAGTGCCAGTTACCAAACCTAACTTGATGGAAACAACTTGGCAATTAAACTGTTCTTTCCAATTGCCTGTCAAAAGTGAAGGCATTTTAGAAGCAAGCTCACTGGGGAGCAGGGAAGAAAACAACATCTCTGCAAAAACTCTGTATCTACTTGCCCATGCCCCATTGCACTTTTTTTGCCCGACCTAAGGCACCTCTCGCTACACCTCCCAAGCATTGCCTTCTCAGAGTCTGGAATGCATCTCAGTTCTGCTGTTGTGCCCAGCTTGTTGGCTATTGCATCATACTTTGGGCAGCGGCGTACATGGCAGCCTGCTGGAAGAGATACGAAGGAAGCAATATTTTATGCGGACAAAACAGATTCAGGAAGAAAAAGAAGAAAAAGAAACACTTACTCCATTGTTCTCTCCTTGGCCTCCATGAAACCCAAGCTGCAACAACAAAACTCTTGTTTTTCCTATTTGACATCTCAAAGATACCCCACAACTGCAGAATTACAGAAAACGCTCAATAAGCTTAAAAAAATAAAGCCTGAAATGTGTGCTCACTGTGTTTGGTGGGTTAATCCTGAATGTACTGGCCAACAACTCCCCACAACACGCCCCCATTTGCAAGATGACCACCAAAGGAGTCTTTATCAGCAGCCCTTCCAGGACCATCTGGAAGACACTTAACACACAAACCTATGCTGTGTAATTTTGCCAGGACTTCCTATCCATTTTCAAATGAAACGGAATGTGTTCTTTACATTTTAAGTCTTTCAAAGCCTGTTGCTGTACTCAAAGATGAACATATTCCTTGGTGGGCAAAAAACCCCCACTGAGGTCTTTTCCAAGATGGTTGTATAGGAGTGGGGGTAGATCTCTTGAGCCACAACGTGCCTTAAAAAGCTGGGTGCTGAGGACAATTTGAGAGCAGCACCCTTCCCCAGCAACCCTTTCCTTCTGCTGCAGCATTCCTATTCCATTATAATTATATACTAGTATCTTCCTATGTTGAAAACAGACAGGCTGCCTTCAGGCAGTTTAGCTTCCCTTGCATTGCTCCCCTCCCCTTGACACCCCAGCAAAAATCCTCTGGCAGCAGCCTTCAGATTCCTGTAGATTGGCCCTCTAGATTGCTGCTGGACTACAACTCCCATCATCCTTGGCCAAAGGCCAAATGCTTGCCAAGGCTGGTGGGAGTTGTATCCAGCAACGCCTGGTGGGCTAAAGGTCCCCTGCACTTGCTGCACTTGCAGAATAAATACTTAAGGGCTCAAATAAAAAGTCAGTATGTTCCCCCACACCTTCTCATCTAAACACAGCTATGGCAGGGAAGATTCATGTTTTACACAGGCAGTGAGGGGAGGGACGTGCCTTTCCCACAACTATAAACAAGGTTTTATTTTGAGCAGCTCAGCCACAGAGGCAAGGCAGTGATCTTTTCCCCACTACACAGCATCAACTTGTGTTCTCAAATCACAAAAGACTGGGTAGGAGTGGGGGGTAAGAAAGGTGGCTCTCTTGGATCTGGGGAACACCACAAACAGGTTAAGGGTTTATTCACAGTCCAAGTGTGGCAGTGGTAGTTTGAAGCAGTTCCTTGCCATGTGTTCATGTGCAGAGAGAGAGGCTGGCATTTTCCATCCCTAGATACAAGTCTCTGGGCAGAAGCTGAGGAATGATACTTCATTGTGTGGCGGAGGAAGGCAGATTGTCTCCTTCTGAGGTTTCAGAACCCAAAAACTGACTGGTTCTGACCTTCCTCCCAGGGCAGGAAGATCGTCATGGCTCTGCAAGAGGCACGGAGGGTGGTCCAATAAAGAGATGGGGGCCAGTCTCTTGATGTGATTCCTATGTCAGGAGGCAATTCCTTCACAGGCTGAGATGGGATAAAAGTCCTGCATTCTTAATCAACATGCAACATAGCTTTAACATCTGGATAAGGGGATTTATGGGAGTAGGGAACACTACATTTTCTGCGATCCCTTCAAAAGTGATGCTCCTTCTTGAGTTGGCCATACATATCTTGTTTTGAAAGACTTTTTATTATTGCTATTGCTGCTTTGCAATGAGTGATCCCATGTTTCACATTTCAATTCCAGAATCTTTGGGGACAGAAGAGGTCTTCTTCTTGGTTTGTGTTTTGTTTTTGCTTCCAAATTTTTAAAAATCGTACAAAAATAAAGAATTTCCACATACAAGGGCGAAAAGTGACCAATAGCATTTTTTCCCTAAATACTTAGGCTCATTTATGATGTGTCGCTGGTTCTCAACCACCACAAACCAAAATTTTAAACCCAAGGGATTCCTTTAAGTCTTTAATTTTTTTAAAAAGATGCAGGAGGGATTAGTTTATAAAATTGACCCCATACAGAATGGAACAGCCGTGCCCACAGCCATTTCATTTGTTTAAAAAAATAATCATTAAGTTTAAAAATAAAAATCAAGTAAATTCCTTTTGTGGATCTTCACATTAGAAAACTGCACCATTTCAAAAATCTGTGGCTGGGAAACACCCCATTGCAGTAAGAAAGCCAGAATGTGTATTTCCATTTTAATAATCATCAAGCGTGGTTTCCAGGAACACATTTCGAACATCCAGCATGGAAGCCAACTCCAAAATATGCTTTTGGAGGTGTGGATTCTCCACAGTTTCGTCCCTTGGCAACTGGGGGTAGGATTCTGGATAATTTCTAGTTTCCTGCTATAGGAAGTGGGGAAGAGGAGGAGAGAAAAAGTAGAATTTCAATTTTCCAGTACAGTAATCATTGCAATTTCATGAAAAATATCTAAGTGGTCCTCTTTTCAGCTTCTACTGAAGACCTCCCTCTTCCAAGAAGCCTTTTAATTAGAGATTCTTTTCCAGATTGTATCTGGAATTGTTTTAAAGGTGTTTTTATTGTTTGCTACCCCTGAGCTCCTTTGGGAGGAAGAGAGGGACAAACAAGATACATTTATGCTGATGATCTGTGATTTTAAATTTTACCTTATTTTTTTTAAACACACACACACATGTATGAAGAAAGCTGTGTAAAAATTTAATATAATAATCAGCATAACTAGCATAGATGCTTTCTTAATTGTCTGTGCTTGGTGGTATAGAAAGGTTTATGGCAAATTTTGAAAGGTTAAAATAGAAGGTGCCTGCTGAGCCTCCTTAGGGAGAGCATTCCTACAGGACTGGGCCTAATGTTGCTAAAAACTTGACGGCTGCTTTGATTTCACTGGGTCTACTCAAAGTAGAGCTTGGTTGGATACAATCCACAGTCAGCATCTATCAAGGAGCTTTTTTGACAACAAGAAGGGAAGAGTTCAATGCTGCTTTGAGATTTTCAAGCAGTATGATTTTTTAAATAAAATAAATAATAGATAAATACCCGGAAGATTTTGTGCATCCTCATGGTAGCTGAGCAAAAGATGAATCTTGTTAGAAGTAAGCGAAGGAATTCATCTCCAAAAAACTGGAGAAAGGCCTGATCTGCAGAAAGTAAGAAGGCAGCTCTTAAAGAAAAGCTGAATTCAGAAAGTTATTTTTTAAATTTCTGGAGTGGAAAGGAGACTCTGAGTTGCATGTAATGCTAGTCAGACTCATTAACATCAATCTGTCTACTCTGAATAGGACTAAGATGTGTAAAATAGTAAAATAACAAACTCATCATCTTTGTTCATTTTCAGCTGCATGGTTCCCTTGGTCTAAGCATACCTACAGTACATACCTATGGAACGGGAATGAGTCAGCAATTGTGCAATATCCCGGTTGATTTTGCGAAGGTAATCATGACACTTGTCCCACAATCCTTTGCGCATGCTTGATAATCCAGAGACAAATAGGAATGCCATTAAAGGATTGTTCAGGAAGAAGGTGAAGAGGCTGCCTCGCTGAGACTGATCTGGAAGGAAATGAACACAAAATGCACTTAGCATACGAAACAGGAAAGGTGGTTGCCCACTGTTAACAGCCATACAACCCTCTACCATGACACATAAATAGGGAGGCACTATTATAAATGCACCAAATATGCCCTCCTATCCAAGTCTCACAAACTTTGCTTAGCACTGAGCAGCAGCAAATTTATGTCAAGGGTCTAACAGGTTCCCTATAAACCCAAGGTTGTATGGAAAGAAGTTGTACTCAGAGCAGACCCACTGAAATGAACATGCCTAAATTAATGATGCTCATAAATTTCAATTTACCTAATCTGAGTAGGATTGGCTACAACCCTCAGATTTATTTCATTTTGCATACAAACTCACATTTTCCTTTTATTATTTTTTAGACATAAAGGCTGCTTCATCCTTACAGATGGCATTGGGAACTAAAGGTGGGGGTTTTTTTGTTTTTTTTTTTTTTTAAAGCACCAACAGAACAATTGCTCACTTGACTGAAATCTCCACATGTTCATGATCTAACCTTAAGCTCCAAAAGGCCGGTCCAAACAAGGTAGATTTTACACTGCCGAAAGGTGTTTAGGCTTCGACTGTTGACAAATGGAAGGGGGGTGGGGGACCAAAAGCCATTCTATGATGCGAACTATCATTCTGTAAGGTACCAGCAGAAATCTGTCTATCCAAAGATATGGAACCTTAGGCCCAGGAGCCAAATATACCTGGCTTAGGGAAATCTCCCTAGGTCACAACCCTCAGTGACCCTGATTCGCATCTCAATATGCCTTGCTGGAATATGCCCTTGATTTCTGAGACCACCTTTTGCTTGTATGGATGGAGGAAAAAGAAGGGGCGTGTGTGAGCATGTGAGGAAAATGTTCTGCTGTATACAAAGGTAAAGTTTACATTTGTTGCCCTGCCCACTACTGGCATATGGACCCTAGAAGATTTCTCAGAAGGGAATGTGGTCCTTGGGCTGCAAAAAGGTTCCCCATTTCTATTATATCCTACTGATCACTGCAGACACCCTGGCTGTGGCGATCAAGGAGTGTTTCCTAATTATGATGTACCCACTGATAGCTATATTATTTGATTATCTGTTACCCAATGCAAAACATTTCTCCAAAGCGTCATCCAATACAAAGAGGCACTATTACCCCAATGGGGAGAGGAAGCACAATGCCTTGAAAAAAACTATCCCCAACCCAATTCCCGAAACACACATATGAAGAATTATTTGCCAGCAATCACCATCCCAATTATTCACCAGAATGAAAGCTGATCCTTCAAACTTGACTAGCTCTTAGCTCTGTTTCAAATTTGTACAACTAAGTAAAATGAGAAAAAGGAGAGATTTAAGGTTCTGATCAGCAGGAACATTACACTAAACAAGATACGATCTTCCTCCCCTCTCCCGCTGGAGACATTCACCAGTTGGTAGGTGTTTTCTGCTTGAAAAAGGGTAAGTTCTATTATTTTCATCATTCCTTTGACTGAGGCTATGTACATATTATACATTTAAAGCACACCCTTCTCTGGGAAAAAAAAAGAAAGAAAAAGAATCCAGGAGCTACAATTTCAAGTACCCACAACGAACTACAGTTCCCAGGTTTCTTTTGGGGGGGAGATTTAATGTTCTTGTTTTTTTAAAAAAAATGTATGATGTGTACTCAGCCTCATTTAGTGTTCTTTTCACAGGAACAATATTTATTTATTTTTACTCAAAACCTCTTGGCACATAATAGAACTTACCTCAATAAGGCCAAAGGGTGAAGTCTCCAGCTCCTTTCATGCATTCACTGCTGACCACCACCTTCCTGTGTCACAAATTATGTCACCAGACTGGACTTCATGCTGGGAACCAGTAGCAGTAAAGGGGCTGCTCTCTCAGAGAGCGACACACCAGAGAACCACTTACAGTTATGGGGACTGGAAAAATGGGTTGGAAAGTTAATAGAGAGCTTTTGAATCGATCAAATATTTCGCTCCCTAATTAGATTACAAGGCACTCCAAAAAGACTTCCGTTAACGTTAGTCCAGGTAAGGAAGAAACCCTAAGAGAGAGTGCCCACCACAGTTACCGCTGCAAAGGAAGAGGAGATAATACCGCCCCCCTGCCCCACATTTTATCTGCACGAAGCAAAAGGACAGCGGACGTTAAGGAGAAAAGGAGCTGTTGTATGCTCTGTTTGCACTATATATTTAAATCAGTATCATACCACTATAAACAATCATGGCTTCCTCCAAAGCATCTTGGGAACTGCAGTTTCTTAGGGCGTTTAAAGTCGTTAGATTAATTCCCCTCACAGAGATACACTTCTCACTGTGGTTTAACAATCAATTATTCTTCCCAGGGAACTCACTTTATATTTTGCGAAAAGTGACTAATAAATATAATAAATAAAAACAATAACTCTAGGAATTGTAGATTTGTGACATGAATAGGAATCTCCTAGCACCCATAACAAACTACAGTTCTCAGGATTCTCTGGGGGAAACTGTGATTGTTTGAAGCAGTATACTACTGCTGTAAATGTATAGTGCAGAGGGGTCCTTACACAGACCCCGGGTCCATCCAGATTGATACTGTAGACATCGACTGACAGCAGCTCTCTGGGGTGTCAGGCTGGAGTCTCTCCCAGCCATACCTAGAGATGCCAGGGATTGAATCTGGAACTTTGTGCATGCAAAGAAAATGCTCAACCCTCTGGACTATGGTCCTATCCCCCAAGAAAATAAAGAGCCTGATTGCACCTTGACCTTTAAAGCCCTACAAGGCTCAGGAGCACAATAATTCAGGGACTGCCTCTCCTCATACAAACCAGCCCAGTCCCTGCAGTCTTCATTTGAAGTCCTTTTCTATGTGCCCCACCTGAGCATCTGAGAGGAGGCTGGCAACACTTTTCAGTAGTACCACCTGCGGAATGCTCTCCCCAGACTCATGCCTGGTGCCATTCTTATCAATCCCTAGGCACCAGGCTAAGAGCTTTTTGTTTACCAAGCAGTGGAATGAACAATGCAACAGCAACAACAGGACTAAGCACCAGAGTTTCACCAAGCATCCAGGACACATGTTTGCTTACAGGCAGCCAATTTCAAGGCTCAACAAGTATGTTAGTGAAATATTTATTGTAAACTTCCAGACGACAAATGCCCTGTTCTTGCAAAAAAAGAAAGAACTGCTCACTGTGGTTCAGGGGATCAAATGAGGGTCGGGAGATTGGGAGGTGTCACTGCAGCTTTTTAAGCTGGGGAGCTAATACCCCCTTTCCACTGACTTTTGTTGTTGCTGTAAAATACAGGAACACAATGCAACACCTCAACTCCTGTTACAGAGGAAAAACACCTTCATACCTTGCAACGCTTTTGGATATGCTGTTGGTGAAAGTAGGCACACCAGTGGTTGTCCAAATAAGTTTGTGAAATTCTGGAAGAGGAGCGAGAGAAAGAGAGAGATCTCAGCAGTTTGGTTTGAGAACACATACAGCAATAGGAAGCTAACGGAAAGGTAAACCTGATCAGTTGGTTGAAGAGGAGGGCTACTGTGAGCCCCATACAAAAGAAAGAGTGGGATGTTCAGTATAAAAGTAAAATTCCCTAGCAATATGTCTACGCCTCTGCATCACAAACATGTTCTTCTCTGCCAAGGCTAAACACAGGGTGCTCTGGAGACACCCAAGGCCAGGCCACTGGCACCAGAGGGACTTGACTGTCACCAGGTGATCAGCACTAAATTGTGTTTGTGTCACTCAGAACTACCACAGTGCTGCTTGCAACCTGGATTACTCCCTGGTGGCGAGCAAGATCCATCTCTAGTCAAAAAGGGCCCATAGTACAAAGCAGAAAGTGTGGCCTTGAATCAACACCACCAGAACAGTCATACCTGAACTTTATGAACGCTTTCCTCTTTTTAAAAAATATCCAAATATTTTTATTGGTTTTCACGTAAGTACAAGAACAGCATATAAATACAGTAACTTTGTCCAGTGTTACCTGCTTATTAAGTTTCATAGGCCTTTAAAGTATCTGCTCCACAGAGATTCTTGTGTTGTGTGTGGAATAAAAGTATCTTCTGTCTCATTTATAAAGGAAAAGAATGGAAGCCAAGTCTCGCCAAAAGTGTCTATCTTTGAAATGCCTTTAATTACCCTTCTATGACGAGTAAGGTGTCCTGACAGAGCCACATTCCAAATATTATTTACCGAGATTTCAGTGGGGATTTCAATAGGTTTCCAGTATTGTCAGCTACTGTTAATCAGGCTGCTGATAATAGAAAAAATACTAAGTCTCCGTATTTAAAGTTATTATTTAAACTTGAGTCTAAGGATAACAAGGCAAGAACTTAATTGGGTGGAAGGGATTGCTGCATACTTTTGAGACGTGGGCAACTTACATCCACCAGGAGCAACACCTCAATGCCTTCCACATGTGCTGTGTCAGAAAGATTTTGGTTATCACATGGGAGGACAGAGTTTCAAACAAAGACATGCTCTCCCAAATCCACATTCCCAGCATGTTCACACTCCTGTCTCAGACATCTATGCTGCTTTGGCCATGTCCACAGAATGGAAGATGGCAGGATCCCCAAGAATGTGTTCTATGGGGACCTGGTTTCAGGCACTAGGCCTATTGGCAGACCAAATCTGCATTTCAAAGATGTCTGCAAATGAGACATGAAGGCTGACAACATCAACCCCTTGGAGTGGGAATCAGTTGCAGACGACTGCAGTGCCTGCAGAAAGTCAAGTTGTGTATCCTTAGCAGGAGGAATGACCACTGGGAGAAGCACAGAGATTAAAAAAAGAGAGAGCCATGGCACATCTGCAGCAGCACAACTGGATGCCTTTATCTGCTCCAGATGCAACAAAACATGTCTCTCCCGTCTCAGTCTCTACAGCCACAGCAGATACTGTAACATTCCAACGGCTTGACTTCACCCTCAAAGGCGAACTCCTCCAATGCCTCAAGAGACAGAAGGATGTCAACATTAAGAATTAATGCCTGAGTTTGATTCCCCATCCACCTCTTTCACTTCCCTTTCACTTTCCCCTTGTGTGTCATGTTTTTGTCCGTAAGCCACTGTGGGAGCCTTTTTGGCAGAAGAGTGGACTACAAATGTTCTAAATAAGTAACAGAAGACTTTGCAGTGCACCAGGGGATGTCATGTGGACAACCCAACACGAAATTTAACTTTCTGTATACAACAGCTAATGAGACAAAGCAATTTTTTTTTTTTTTTGAGGTGGATGACTGCTCAGTTTTTCCAGCCAAATGAGTATTTTCTAGCACGTGGTGGAAAAGAGATGCTGGGGAAAGTTGGAAATTTAAGGCAGGGGAAAGGAAGGAAAGCATCCTTCTAGTTTCTATCCAGGACTCAGCCTGTTAAGACAGCAAGCGCTCTTCCAAATGTGTCAATTCCACTAAAATTCATTAAGTTAATTCCTACTAAGCTTGTTAACATATTAAAGAGCAGCTGGGTCTAATCAGAGTAATAGTCACCCCCCTTCTCTCCCTCCCAATGTCAAAGTGATGATTAAGCACAGAGCTCTGTGCTACTCTACCCAGGGCATGCGATACAGACACTCATATATATATTATGTGCAATAAGGTAACTAGAATTAGCAACAGCAAAATACAACTGAAATAGTCAAAACAAGGAAGGAAGGAAGTTACAGCACCAGCTGCTGGCACATTAACATGGGTATGACTCTCCAAAGGGGCTGCACTTATCCATGGGTTAACACATCACACCACCTTAGAGAACTCTAAAAAGTCCAGTTGCAATTGTGCTTTAAATCTCAGAAGTAAGCTCAGTACCAAATCCCAAATATGTTGGGTATTTCATAAAGGACATTTTAGTGTTTTATAAAAGTCAGTTACTACTACCAAGGCATTATGTTTTTTAAAAAATTGTTTGGTTTTTTGCTTTGTTCCCTTGAATAAATTTTGTGTATACACATTACAAGAATGTTCTATTTACAACAAATGGCACACGTAAAATGCATTTTAAAAACATAAATTACTTTGGTGTAGGGAGAGGGGCTGACTTTAGAAGCACTCAAAACACAGACATCTTAAAATCATCTAATCTGTGAGTCCTGTAAGGGCCTCCCTCCCTGCTTTGCTGGGGTGGGGTGGGGTGGGGGGCAGCACCCTGATTCCAGCTGCAAAAGCAGCTGGTGCTGGAGAGGCCATAGACTATCTGACCCCTGAGGCCAGTAAGTCCTGCTGTCCAGTATGTCTAGAAACTATTGGCATGGGGGGGGTTTAGGAGTTAATGCTGGAGTCAAGATTTAATTCTGACATACATCATTTTTATCTGTTATTGGGATTACATTGCTTAGTTTTTATTCTCAGATCTTATGATCTACGTAACAATAGTTAAATTTTGCTGTGTACTTACTGAGAGGTTTTCATTTTTTATCATTTAAGATTTTAAATTTGGTTGCATTTTTGTACCTACTAGAGCAAATTATGTGAATTTTCTCGGGTTGTAAGCCATCTAGAGCACACCTTAACTATGGAAAGGAGGCATATAAATAAATAATGATGGTCATAATGATGGATAAAAGTTGTTACCTTGTAGGCAACGCTGTTAGAGGAGTCCACTATGATAAACAGAGGCTTCCTCGTGAAAGGATAGAGATCACCAGGGTGTAGACTAAAAGAGAGAACAGAAACGGTTCAAAAGTACGCTTGGAACCTGGGAAGAGATTGTTGCTTCCGTAGTAACATAACATAATTCCAGGGGTCTCCCCACCGCCCATCACAACCTTCCATTTACTGTACTTATTTATAAAAGCGCTTAAAGGAAACTAAGCAAACCTAAACAGGACCCTCCACCCATCAGTTTAAACAGAGAGGCCTGAGGTCATGGTCACAAGAACATAAGAAGAGCCTGCTAGATAATGCTTCTTGCTTGCCTGGATGGAGAGATGAAAGTGTGTGCCTACAGCACGAAGGTGTCACTTCCACTGCTACTGCCTTTGGGCCCACTCACCACCAGCATGCAGCCACCCAAAAATGTTACTATTGAAGGAATGTGACGCGCAGGTTGAAAAATACATCCCAACCCTGCTCTTGAGGTTAGGGCTTTATAGGAAATGTCTATGAGTTGTGGGAGAAGCATCAGCCTCAAAATCCCAGTTGGAAGAAGCCAGTACAAATGCTGAAACCATGTGGCAGCAAAAGTCCCGTAACTGAATTCCAAGGGCTGAGGGCTCCTGCCACCTGCTCTTCCAGGTACATGGTACTCACCAGTGCATCTCTTTGTACGACTGGTTCCGCTTGTGGATGCCATCCCCATTTATGATGTCCCGGTTGCTGTTTGTCAGGACACCCCCAAAATCATAGGGACCTGCAGAAAATGCAAACAGGAGGCCAGAATGAACAGCAGCTACACAGCGAGGTATTGGCAATGAAACAAACACGGGATATGGACAGCAGCCCCCATTTGGGAGAAAAAGGAGAATCTGGGAGAGCTTGCAGATTACTAATGGATTATGGGTTTGGAAGTTCACTTGGCCAATGTCTTCCCCCCATCTTGACAATACAAGATGTCCTTTAGCTTTTGATTCATTTTAGCCTATGAATTCAAAACACAACACAGATTCACTTCATCCCAATATAACTTACTATGATCTTGATTAGAATTTGGTACAGCTGCCATAGGTGGAATTGAGGGCTGCCAGCTGACTATCCCTGTTTTAGATTGTGTAGGGCCAAAAGTATTGTGCCCTTTTCATTAGAGACCTCTCTAACTAAAACCGTGTTTATTTCACATATATACAGGAAGGATCAATATACGCCATGTTTAAACCCACACACCACAATCAAAATCAATACAACCAAGAACTAGAAATCCATCCTTCCACCTTAGTAGGTCAGGAAGAACCTTTCCAGATTTGCTGTGGATACCAGCCACCAGCATAGCAATAAAGAGAGAGAGAGAGAGAGAGAGAACGCTGATGGGAGAATGCCAAGGGAGGAAGCTTAAAAAAGGAAAAGCTGGTTTTCTGACCCAACTCTGGGCAACAGCCACTTACACAACATGCTTCACTACCAGCTTCACAACTGCCTAGTGGGAATTCAAGCATTTTCCACAAGACGACAATGGGATTTTCCAAATGGTCTTTGCGCTTAACCATCTCTTCCCAGTGGAGACAGTATAATTTGTCTAGTTTGGCCCTAAGATTTTACTCCTTCTCCTGGAGACGCAGTTACTCATTTCACATAGCAAACTTGACAGGTGTCAAATGCGGTCTTTAGAATCAGGCTCCATCTGCACTATACATTTAAAGCAGCATCAAACCACTTTAAACACTCAGGGGTCCCCCAAAGGATTCTGGGAACTGGCATTTGTTAAGGTGGTGAGACTTGTTAGGAGACCCCCCATTCCCCTCACAAAGCTACCATTCCCAGAGTGGTTTAACAGTTCCCTCTACCTGGGGTACTCTGGGAATGGAAGTTCTGTGCGAAGAATAGGGGGGGGGTCTCCTAGCAAGTCTCACAACCTTTAATAAACTGCAGCTCCCAGGATGCTTGGTGGGGAAGCCATGAGTTATTAAAGTGGTATGGTACTGCTTTAAAGATACAATGCAGGTGGTGCCTCCCTCAAATGCTGCTTCCCATGCTCCTGAAGCTGTAACATTCTAGGGAACAAGTGATACTGTTTGCCCTTCCCTGTATGTTCAGCTCAGAAAGCCAATCATGTGGACTGCAGGTAGCTATGTGCAAGTCCAATATTTTTAAAATTATCATTACAAGGCTGAATTCAGCAGTGCCACATTGGTCTGTGTTGGCCACATGGATTGACAAGGATCATCTTTGGCTGACTTTTGTACATGGGTACAATTGGAAGGGCTGAGACAACAATCCTGGTTCTTCATTTACTCCCCAAATTTCACTTGCTGATTAATAACCAGTTTTACCTTCCCAAGGAAAGACCAAAGCAGCTAACAAAAGGAAACATCGATTAAAAAATAATATTTGTTGTGCAAAAGCAAGTATCAGGAATATTGCCATTGCAACTTTGCCTTACTGAGCTCAGAAGATTACAGGGCAGTTTCATGGGTGAGGCAGAGCCTATCCTCCCTTTCTCTTTGTCTGATACTCCATCCTCCCATGGTTCAAGCGCTCTAAAATTATCTGCCTTGTTGTGACTCAAGAGGCAGGTCCCATTCCTCAAACTCTGTTCAATTACATAAGACAAACCTATTCTTACCAGCTATCAGTTTACCCCTTCCTCAAATTATCCCTAATTATTTTTACCCCTTCTGCTTTCCCCCCATTTCAATGACTTAGTCAGGCCAGCTCTCTTTCCCTTCTAGAGTCCCAGCTGCATTAATGTCATCCCTGGGGCAGAATGGAGGAGGTTGACATTTTGCACAGATGGTCCCCAAGGCTCACCTCCTACTTTGAGCCAGAAGCGTTAACAGAAAATCTAGAAAGCTCTACAAAGGGTGGAGATGGACATTTGTCCTACCGTATGTTGGGAACAACAAAAGCTCATGCAGCAGGCATAAGGCCCACCCACCCACAAAAACCACAGTCAAGCGAGAGGACAAAGATTTGGCACCAAAGTACACAGCAAAAAAGACCCTGTAAACTTTTTGTTACAGGTGTTTTTGTGGGTTTTTTTAAATATAAGTATCTGGAAAGGTTTATGAATCATGCAAGGAAAGATGAAACAAGCATGCATTTTATAAAGGAATGCAAGTCTTTTAAGTGAATGGAGCAGATATAATACGACATCTACTGGGAGGAATTTTTGTTGTTGTTGAATGCAAACATGGTACCATGAGAACCAAATTCTTTCGCTTTGTATGATCCATTCATTCAGCTTCAGCCAATTTTTGGAATGGATCATCTTCATGATTGTATTTTTTGAGGGGGGTGGGGAGTTGTCTTAAAAAACAAAACAACAAACAAAGCACAGATGGCAGCTGCATCCCAATATTCTTCCGGGTCGGATAGGTGGGGTGGAGGTGGAGGTGGGGTGGAGGGAAATTACCAAAGTCATGACAAGGGCTTGAATTGTGAGGAAATATCCACCATCTCTACAGCACGCCCCCCCTCCCCCAGCAGTCATCCTTTGGCTGCACTTGAGTACTATCAACACGGCTTTGTGTTCATACTGCTTTGTTTTGTTTTTTAAATAAAAGGGACAATTTGCCCTAGAAGCATCCAGGAGGCACCATTTACCAAACACTTACAAGGCTGGTTATCATCTTCGTGTAGTGAAGATCAGGCACACACCACTCCCCAGTACTGCGATGTGTTCCATATGGAGCCTCGTAACACTTTTAAGACCTGGTTGGATGGCAGAGGTGGGGAACCGTCCAGGGCTCTTTATCTGGCCCTTAAGACTTTCTCCCTCTCTCCAGGCCATAACCCTCACTGGCTCTACTTCACACTGTGAATGGTTTTGGCTGGCTGGAATGTGTCCTTAAACTCTGATAATGCCTCTTGCTTGTGTGGATGGAGGCTGGGTGTTTGTGTGTATTGTTTGTGCATAGAAACTAGCCCACTGAACAAAGGTAAAAATTCACAATCATTGTTCCACCCCCCAGTAGCATGTGGCCCCTCGAAGCCTTCAAAGAAGGGAATGTGGCCCTCAGGCTGAAAAATGTCTTTGTTGTCCACTCTTTTCTCCCTGGGGCATGAAAGGAGAACCAGTGTAGTGTAGTGGCTAGAATGTTTGTCAGACTAGGACCTGGGAGGCCAGGGCTCAAATCCCCACTAAGGTTAACCTACCTCACAGGCTTGTTGTGAGGATAAAATGATGAGAGGGAGAACCATGTAAACCACCTTGAGCTCCTTGGAGAAAAAGGTGAGAGAGAAACTAATGGAGACGTATGGGATACACATCTGCTGGGCATCACGCAGTGTGCATGGCATAGGGGTCCATACACCCCACTTCTTCACCACACAAAGAAGATCTTCCAGCCCAGTAAAGCACCTGAACCGGGTGCTAACGCTTCCAACACCTGAAAAATCTTAAGGTGTGGCACAAAGGTAGACATGAGAAGAAAATCCAAATGCCACTTCCTGTTGGGCAGCCATGCCCAGCAAAGGCAATGCCAGCCCACAGCTTATTCTCCAAGAGAAAAAGCATTTGGAGGCTTCCCCCATCAGATTGTGGATCATAAAGAGAATTCAGGCCCTGCTCATGACAGGGAGCATTCCTTTATTTGTACCTTCACTATCCGAACGACCTGAAGGAAACACGCCAGTGGCTGACAGGTAGATGAGCAGGACACTATTTGCAGGCAGCTCCTGAAAGTTTGACAGGAGAAGGGGGGGAAGGGGAGTTGGTGAGGGAATATTGGAGAGGGGGAGGTAGGCATTTGTTTATTAATGCACAATACAGATACATATCATTTATTTTAAGCTGTCTGTATCAAGGATAACCCAATATTAATATTAAAAATGTTTTTAAAATAAATGTAGCAGTAGGACTTGCACTGGATTGAAGGAATATTCCATCCTTAATAAGATAATAAGAGCCCTGCTAGAAGCACTCGCCCCTCATGTGGCTTCCAGCAACTGGTATGCAGAAGGTTGCTGATCAGAAGGTGGGCAATTCAAATCCCCGCGACGGGGTGAGCTCCTGGTTGCTCTGTCCCAGCTTCTGCCAACCTAGCAGTTCAAAAGCACACCAGCGCGAGTAGATAAATAGGTACCGCTGCGGTAGGAAGGTAAACGGCATTTCCATGTGCTCTGGTTTCCAGCACAGTGTTCTGTTGCACCAGAAGCGGTTTAGTCATGCTGGCCACATGACCCAGAAAGCTGTCTGTGGACAAACGCCGGCTCCCTTGGCCTGAAAGCGAGGTGAGCGCCGCAACCCCATAGTTGCCTTTGGCTGGACTTAACTGTCCAGGGGTCCTTTACCTTTCCCTTTTTATTCAGAAGCATTTACTGCCTCTGACCATCAAGAAACAGCATAGCCTTCGTGGCTAGTAGACATCAATGGTCTTATCCTGCATGAACTTCTCTAATACTCTTTCAAAGCCATCCAAGTTGGTAGGCCATTGTTGCTCCTGCAGGAGTGAGTTCCATAGTTTAACTATGTGGTGTAGAAACACTTCCTTTTATTTGTCCTGAATCTTCCAACATTCAGCTTCACTGGATATCTTTGAGTTCTAGTGTCCTTCCCACTGCTAGCTCCATTGAGACTCCTCTCCTGTTTCCACACAACTGGGGCAGAGGCTCTTGTCCGCCTTTCACCCATCTGGAAGTTGCTGATAGCTTACTTCTTAGCCCTCTGGTCCAATGGTGCTGTTATTGAATGCCAGGTCAGTCCACAATAAGACCATGCTTACCCACAAACTGGTGGTGGATAAAAGGGCAGATGTGGTATGCATTACCAAGACTTGGATGGGTGAGTTGGGTGGGCCTGACCTAACTCAGCCGTGTCCCTCTGGGTACTTGTTACAGTGCTAGGCTAGACTTGGGCGGAGGAGGACAAAGGGGAGGTGTTGCTATTGTCTGTAAAAATACTATCTCCTTTACCAGAAAATCTATTGATCTTGGAATGGGATTAGGAGATCAGCATCTGGTGATGGGCCAGAGAGACAGACAGGGGATGCTGTGGTCTATCGTCCACCCCGTTACACAGCAGCACCCCATCCGTGCTGTCCAGGAGGGGCTCTGGAGTAGTGTTGGCAAACCCCAGGAGCAGTAAGTCTTGATGTTTTTCTATTAAAATGATCAACACAAAACAGTTGGGTTTCCTATTGATCTTTTTAATGGTTCCTGTAAACAGAGGTTTCGTTACAACCAAGCGGCATATACTGCTAAATGAATGAATGAATGCTTGGGAGGGGGCAGAGCAACACGGAAGTGACACACTCATATGCCACTTTCAACTTTTTTATTTAAAAAAATCATTGCCAACCTCCAGGCAACACACAAAGAAACCTCTTTTGTCTTGCGGTTGCTTCTGTTCAAATAGGTTTGACAGTCTTTTTAAAATTATTACAAGAACCTGTTCAAGTCAGGATGACTGTATATAAACCAACCCACCCATCTCTGGAAGAGGCAAAACAGCCTCTCTTTCTCTCTCCTCTTCCTAATTCTAAATTTGTTTCCAACTGTACAAACTCTGAGGGAAACCTGCCTCAGCTCCTCTTGCAGCAGCCTTCAATAGGCTGGTATAAAAAAATATCTCTCTTTGGGCTGGAAACTGCTCCCTTATCTAATGGTGGTGGTGGTTGTCCCCCCACCCCCATTTTGAAACTGCCTTCAGTTTTGTGAATAAATTTTTATTGCTGCTGTATTCAATTGTCTTCCACTGCTGCTTTAAGCATTCACGGCAGGGTAATTTGAAAATTAAATTGCTGTTGCTTGCTGCCTTGAGCTCTCCAAAGCAAAAGTGTATAAAACAGTTTAAACAGATGAATAAAATTCAATTCATAGCAATGATGGTATTTTTAAATTTGTCATTATTCATTTCAATTGTGCTCCATAAACACCTTTCGTTCTCAGGAGAAACACCTGCTCACTTGCATTTTGACTCGGCAAAATGGTATTTTAGGAGCAGTGGTGGCTGGCGGGGCGGAAGGCATGGAGGCCAACAGTAGATAGTGCCAGAGCCAACAATAGGTAGAACCTCCTAATCCTGGTTTTGCTCCCATTCTCATCCCTGCTGAGTTATTCAACAGACTACACTGAGACTGATGAAGGAGCTGACAGGCAGCCCCACCCCCAAGAGTGGTTGCAAGTAAGAAGGCAGGAAGATGCTGGCTGACTCATGGCAGACTGAGGTTGGTGGTGCAACCTATAGGATGAGCCTTCACTATTTGCGATATTCTATCACCAGAAAGAGGCACCTCCTCCTTTGGCACAAACCTTAAACGACGCAGCCAAGAAGGTGTACAGCTGACTGAAGGTTGGCTTATACAGCAAGTACTTGTGAGGGTTTTCCCTTCTTGCTGGCTTTTCGGTTGTCTCCTATATAAAAAAAGAAAGAAAGAAACAAGCAGCACATGTCACTAAAAGAAAGGAGGTTATAGATTTTTCATCTCAGCACAGCTGCCCCTCAGATCTATACAATTAGCTCAACATGGAATTCCAACTGATCTCAAACCAAAGTTAAAATAAATTTCTACTGCCTCGCCTGGTGAGTGCAGGGCTGAAAGACGAGGGGACTTGCCTGCAGCCCTGGCTTGCTCATTTGTGATGCCAAGTTCATAGGTTCCCTCTCCAGAGCTTGCAGCATCCGGAACATGTCGATTGTCAGCTCGCTGAACTTCACCTACCAGAGACACAGTTACAAATTAAAGGTTTTTAGGATAATGGAAGCCATTTCTGGTGGGTAAAGATTTTTAATTTTTTTTTAATTATATATAAATAGGCAAGAATAATTACATAACAGATGGAAATTAAAACATAAAAAGCCAAACCATAAAATAAGCACATAGAATAAGTACAGTTACATATAGGTTTTTAAAGTAATGAGGTCCAGGTCATTGGAGTGGGGGTGGGGAGTAAGAATAAAATGTGTCCTCACATAAAGAAAGAACATTAAGCATTATTTGACTGTCAAGTATAGTTCCAGATGGGTCAGGCTTGTGACAATGGCTGCCTTGAAAATGATGGCTCTGCTGTATATGTAATCAAGAAATGTCAAATCGTATATAAAAAATGGTCTGGAACTTCTAGTCCTTGTTGAAAGCTCAAATTATGTGTAATTTCATCCATTAGTGCTGAAATGAAAGTCTTTTGAACTACCAAGTATGTATGTGTCTGTACCAGCTTTAAAAAACAAAAAATGAAACCTTGCATACCACTTTACAATTATTACAATAGAAGCACAAAACAGTGCAAAATACTAAAAATAGTACTAGAATATACGTATTTAAAAGTCAAATCATAAAGCCATATAAAGGAGCAAAACATTCACCCTCTAAAAAGTCTAGAAAAATGGCAGAACACAGTCATAAAGGTAATGCAGGGAGAAGCCCAGAGCCCTTTTCAAAAATTATGCTTAAAATTACTGTTGAGGGCCTATATCATTACCACTCTCTCTTCATAGATAATTCTAAAAATTATAGGTGTGTGTGTGTGTGTGTGTGTGTGTGTGTGTTAGGGATCTTCAGTATACTTCATAGCACCCTCATTAAACTACTATTCCCAGAATTCTTTGGGGGAGCCATAGATACTTTATGCTATAGTACAGGGGTGCCCTCTGCATGTCATTGGACTTCAACTCCCATCATCCCTTACCACTGGCCATACTGGTTGGGGATGATGGGAGTTGGGGCCCAGCAACATATGGAGAGTGCCTTGTTGGCTACCTCTGCTATATTAGAAAGCCAATTATGTTTGTCAAATAGATATAACCTTTGTCTCATTATTTTTTAAAGCCTGTTCATATGGATAATGCAGCTTGCAACATGTCAACAGGCTTTTTAAAGCTCAAGTTGTGATTTTGACATGTGTGACTTTTAACAGCATCTCTTTTAAAGAGCCTGATCAATGGTTCTTTCAGCCCGGTGCCATCTGTTTCTGACCTGCAATGACTTTCTCCAGGGCCTTGAGCAGAGATGTTCCTCCTAGTTTATTTAAAAGAAATGTGGGTGGTAGGAAGTGTCAAGGGCTGCTTTATGCACCTGTGCTCTACACTCTGTGTAGCCTGGAAGACCACGTTCATCCCTGGAGACAAAGATTGGTTCAATTCAGACATAACACTGAGCCATGATTATGGAAAATGAACCACGATTCAGCATGATGTCCAAGCTGGCAAGAGTAGAAGCACTCTCAGTGGCTAAACTTTTCCAGTTTGATAAATCTCCTATAGTGTGTATGTGTGTGTGTGTGCATGCGCACACATGTGCGCGCACACACACACACGGCGATATATATACATTTCCCAAGTCCTGCTGGAAATTACATATACTGACTGGGAAATATGCACAACTCCCTCTTCACAGATAGCTTATGTGCACGTTCTCTACAAGATCTGGTGAAGGTGTGCCAGGTGTGATGCACATTAATTTTTTTAATCACTTTTTAAAATTTTAAATTCTGTAACTTAAATTTAAAATAAGTACATCTTGTGACCTTTCATATTAAAGCCCATGAAGTTCTGAAGAGATTGGTGTTTTCAGTTTCTCAATGCTGGACTGAGCTTTTAAGGTTTTTGTGTAGTCTGACAAAGCCAAAATTGTCATTTATTTTTTAAATTTCAAACCCTCATAACTCAAAAACGGGATGAGATAAAAAGCTAAAATTTTAGATTTAAACTTAGTTTTGATCATTCAACAAGAGTACAAAGTATTAAGAAAACTGGATGACATGAGATAAAAAAGTTGGATTGCTTGATATAAAATGACCCCACTTGTGACATGGGACGAAAGGCTTGTGTACAGGATCCCACCTGATTGTTGCAGTTGCCAATAATAAGCGCATCTGCGAGAGTCAGCTGCCCTACGATCATCCCCTGCTCCAGCAGAGGGGCTCCCGTTTCAGAGAGGCGGTTGGAGAGGATCACAAGGGTGTTGTCATCATTCAACACCATCACAGGGTCTGCCTGGAAAGAAAGGGAGACAGGCATGAGAATGAGGGTCCCTGGCATGAATTATCTGGACTCAGGTTAAGCCTTGCTGGAAGTAATAAAAACACAGCAACGAAAGAACAAGCAAGTAGCAAGCCTCGTATTTTCCCAAATATTCTGCTGGGAGTGTGTGAGTGTGGGTGTGCAGAAGCTCTTTCCCATAAAGCCAACTACATTAAGCTGGATGAAAGGGGCAATGGAGCAGGTTAACACTAATGCTAAATGCCACTGTGATTTGGGATTCTGTTTGCCAATTATCCTGTACTAAGCTTGTTTCTTCTGGAGAAGACTCGCTTTACCATGAGGATGGAGCAGCATCAGGTGAACTGCAAATCAGCCTCTGATGTATTACTGCGAGTTTTGGAAAGTCCAGGAGTAATAAGAGCAGCTGTGATCAAAGGAATGCTCCCTGCAAGATTCTAGTCTTAATTATACATATTTCCCTCACAAGATTTGGCTTATGAGCAGGGCTCTTGCATTCTATTCCTTCCCACTCAGGAATAAATGATTCTGTTTTTTGTATCTATACACATACATGCTGGCAAAATTTATATTATCTTAGGAACACTGGAAGCTACCTTATGCCAAGTCAGACCATTGGCTCATCAAGCTCAGTATTGCCAACACTCTTTGGTCATGACTCCCTATGGTCTCAGACAGGGGACTTCCCTGGAAATGCCATATTGGGAATTGAATCTGGGACGTTTTGCATGCAAAGCAGATCTTCTACCACTGAGTGATGTTGCTTCCCTTGTATAATGTTGCTCAATTTACTTTTTCTAACACTATGAAAGCAGTTACAGATGGGTAGCCGTGTTGGTCTGCCATAGTCAAAACAAAAAAAATTCCTTCCAGTAACACCTTAAAGACCAACTAAGTTAGTTCTTGGTATGAGCTTTCGTGTGCATGCACACTTCTTCAGATATCTGAAGACACACTCCCAGCAGAATATTTGGGGTTTTTTTGTTTTTTTGTTTTGTTTTTTTGTTTTGACTATGAAAGCAATTGTTCCTATTTGGAAAAGGCAAAGAACAATATAGAAGCAGGGGGTGAGTTACTAGGAGGAGGAATGAGTAGTAGGAGATGACTTGAAGGCACAGAAGAAAGACGATGCCCTCCCGTTTCTTTCAGCGTTTAAAAGCTTCTCACTAAAACAATGAGAACTAGAAGCATGGGTGTGTGGTTTGCTTTTTAAACAAAAACTCTGCTTCCCAGAATAGCAAACTACAATAATGGTAACTAGCTCAGATGGCTTGCTAAAAATACCAATTAACAAGAGAAGACAAGAGGTATTAGTTGTAAGAATTAGGGGCCTACATATTCCACAGCAGCCTTTAACTACCCAATGTTGGGAACAAATGGGAACACTCCACCACCCTTTGCTTGCCAATTTCTTAAGGGATTTGCCTAGCTACTGTAGAAGATAGAACACTGAGCTAACTGCCCCTTTTGCCTGAGGATTGTTACAGAAGATGTAGGATATGAGTCAAGATCTGGGAAAACACTGAGCTCTTTCAGAAAGAAAGGAAAATGCAGCAATTCACTTTTAAGTCCTCACCTCGACAAATGCAGCCACCTCTTGGAGAACCAGATTCCACTCCACTTGGTCTTCTGTGTTGAAGCGGTGGGTGTAGTCTTCAATCTCATCTGACAATTCCTAGAAAGCACAGAGAGCAACAAATGAGATGATTTAGTGCTGCTTTGGGTGGGGGGGGGCTAACTTATTTAGATTTTGTGAGTAGGCATGTGCAGTAGGTAAGCAAACATGTGGCAATGCTCAAAAAAATTGTTTAGAGTGTTCAGGGAAGCAGTAACAGCAGTAAACTAGAGGTGAGGAAGCGAGGATCCATGGTGCACGGCCACATCCACGCTGGTTGGCACATTTCCGCTTCCTAGTAAGCTGTGCTACATCATCATCATCATTGAAATTTTTCAACATACAATATAATAAAAAACAAAGTAATCAAACTAATCTAAATAAAAGTAAAAGCAAAAAACAAAAAAAGAGCGAAAGAAAAGAAAAAGAGAGAGCAGGGTGGGTGGATGATGAAAAAAGCCCTCTCCCAAAGGTAGATCCTTAACCCTTGTCACCCTTCCTATCTCACCTGGGAGCTTCCCTTTCTTCTCCCAGCCTCCAACCCTAGGAGATCTTCCCTTCCCTGCACCCCACGCAGGGTCTTTCACCTGCCAACCACCTCCTTAAGCCAGAGCAGAGGACATAATGAACAAAACAAAAAATAAGCAAAAGCATAGTGGATAAAAGGAAAAGGGAAAAGGGGAAACTAGATGAAGAAAAAGATAATAAAACATAAAAAGAGTGGTGAGAAATTCTGATTCTCTGTCTCTTAATTATGTAAATAAAGATTATTCAGAATATTCAAAGCGTTCACTGCAGGATGGTATCTAGCTGTATTCCATGATAATATCCAGCTGTTTTGCATTCAGTTAGATGATGCTTTCCCAATCTTCAACCCCAGACACAAGTTCATTCTTATTTCCACAAAAAAGTCCGAAAGGGGCTCCCCAGTTGTTATTATCACTACATGCCTAGAATAGTCTTCTTCCAATCCGGTATGTTGACCTTATCTCAAAAACAAAAATAAAAACCCAACATCCACTATAAGGATAATAATCCATAGTTATCCACTTGTTGTATATTAATTAATTCGTATCCAGTTCCCTATCTTCCAATCCCATTTCCTGTTGGCCATGATTTTCCGTCCTAATTTGGAAAAAAGTTCCTCCCATTTCCTCTTCTTCCATTCCCCCTGAAGAGAATTGGCACAGGCTTGGTAGCTTTTTCCTTTGATTTCACTCCAACATGTACACAGGATCATTTCTCTCTCAGCTCTATCTCTGCCATCTCAAGATGTTTCTTAATGTCTGTTAATGGTTTCATTCCCCTTCTCCAGGATCACAACTTCATCATTTGTTTGTTCTACTCCTCCAGCCACCTGTGTGAAGGTCCTTTCCATTTCATTATCTGCTGCCTCTCACTTTACAATTCTACTCTCATATTCAGGCAGATGTTGATCGGTACTTTTTCCAAAGGCTCTGTGTATTCTTTGGTCTGATCTTCTGTAATCCGTCTTCATTCACCATATTATGTATCTCGGCTCTGAGCTATCATATTCTCAAATGTGCAACTGTTCTCACAGAGCAGTGGTTCCCAAACTTCCACTCCCCCAACCTGCAACTACCTAGAAAGTGCTATGGGTGTTGGCAGATCACTTAATTACTGTGTAGCTATTGTAATGCAGAGCCAGTGTGGAGTAGCAGTTAGAGTGCTAGACTAAGACCTGGGAGACCAGAGTTCTAGCCCCCACTTGACCACAAAGCTCACTGGGTGACCTTGGACCAGTCATATAGTCTAACCTACAGGGCTGTTGTGAGGATAAAATTGAGAGAAGAAGAACTATGTATACCACCTTGAACTCCTTGGAGGAACTGTGGGATATAAATGTAACAATAACCATAATAATAATGCACTATGCTAGATGATTTTTAATTTAATCAAGAATGAACTTCTTAAATCCAGCCTTCTATTAAATCCACTGCTTTCCACTCCTTTCAAGTGCCTCTTCCCCTCCATCACTTCAGGTCCATACCACCTGGCTTCCAGGTGAACTGCTGAGTTCTGAGAACAACAGAGCAGTAAGTTGCACCCTCCATTCACAACTGCTACTCCTGCAGACATGCTGTGGGCCACCTGAATGAAGCTTGCAGACCAGACCCTGTCATAGAATACTGTGCCCGATATTATTATTTTTATACATGCAAGACAAACTTCACCACCACTTCAAATTAATAATGGAAGCACTGCTGCTTCCTCTTACACTTGGAGAGGTTTATGCCTTTACAGTATACCAAAATCATTACTCCAGTCTCCTATGTTTCTACATGCACTATTGTACTTGCATAACGTGCATAACAACCCTGAAAGAGGACAAACTGAGAGGGAGAGAGCGGCCAAAAACCTAATTGGAAAAAGAAGAAAGCCCAGAAAAGCCATCTAATCCTAAGAGTGGGCAGTTCTGAGGCTGCTTCTTCTTTCTTCTTTGGTGATCACTTGCAGCCAAGTAAGATTGTCTTCCATAAACATGGTTTTAACAATGAGTCCGTAAGTGACTTATTGTTGTTTAGTCGTGTCCGACTCTTCGTGACCCCATGGACCAGAGCACGCCAGGCCCTCCTGTCTTCCTCTGCCTCCCGCAGTTTGGTCAAACTCATGCTGGTAGCTTCAAGAACACTGTCCAACCATCTCGTCCTCTGTCGTCCCCTTCTCCTTGTGCCCTCCATCTTTCCCAACATCAGGGTCTTTTCCAGGGAGTTCTCTTCTCATGAGGAGGCCAAAGTCTTGGAGCCTCAGCTTCAGGATCTGTCCTTCCAGGGAGCACTCAGGGCTGATTTCCTTCAGAATGGATAGGTTGGAGCTTCTTGCAGTCCATGGGACTCTCAAGAGTCTCCTCCAGCACCATAATTCAAAAGCATCCATTCTTCGGCGATCAGCCTTCTTTATGGTCCAGCTCTCACTTCCATACATCACTACTGGGAAAACCATAGCTTTAACTATAAGTGACTGTGGAGACCAATTCTGGATCCACATGTCCTTCCACAGTGGGGACATTGGTTTCCGGGCGGGAGTAATCCAACTGCACTTTATACCCAAAGTACTATCTGCACCAAGGCAGGGGCTGACTGGAAGCAAGCAAGAATAGGGCAATGATTCATACAGCAACACAATGAACAGCCTCCTCCATGGATGGAGGAGGACCCTCCCATTCCAGGACCCTCCCATTAATTTCTCACTGCACAGAATTTGGGAATTGCTATTGGACAGTCAAGGTGGCATAGTGATTAGAGCGCTGAGCTTCAGTGGGGGAAAAGCCAGGCACAAATGCTTTCTGGCCATCCTCAACTTAACATGCACTCACATGGTCGTGGCAAAGCTAATACAAGGCTCCGAGCTCCTTGGAGCATGTGCAAAGTCTTAACTACACACATCACAATGGTACTATTGGTTTTACCTTTACAAGATCCTTGACGACATCCATTTTGTTCAGTAAAAGGCATACCACAATGAATCGTGCATAATAACGCAGCTTCTTAACTACCAGTTCAGGCCTGGGAGGGAAGAAAAAAAGAGGGGGGGGAATTGGAGAAGGGAAAAATTATTTAGCAGCCTCCTGCTAAATGAAGAGGAACATGGCTCCTGTGAAGGAATATCAAGTGATGCCCATGTTAGATTTTAATCGCAGCTGTAGTATAGGCAGAAATATTTCACTTTCAGTGTGTGTAGAATTATTGGAGCTTGAGAGGACAAGTGCTTGGAGGACCAGAGATAATTTACTCTGGAGGTCTACGTGCCTCTTTACTACCTGCCAGCACAGCTATCTGGCCAATGGGAGGGATCATAGCTCTAGAGAACAGGATTTGCATGCAGAAGGTCCCACATTCAATGTCTGGCACTTCCAGCCAAACGACTCAGGTGACTGCAGATGGGGAAATACTTTTCCCTGCCTGAGACCCTGGAAAGCCATGGCCAGTGAGATCGACAAATAGGCTTGGAATAAGGCAGGTTCCTCCGTTACTAAATCCAGCTTCTGACAGAAAGGAACAAAATGGCTGGATTTAGAGCATGTAAGAAGAAAGCTTGTATCCCTTAAGAAAAGAATCGGGTAAGATTCAGTCTGTGGGGCAATCTTGGCCCCCAAGGCTGTATTCCCCAAACCATGCCTACCCAGCCACCCCATCAGCTGGCATCACTAGTGACAAAATATGGTGGGAGGTAGGGTTAAATCCTGCAATGTTTTTCTACCATAAACCACTCAGCAATCCTCAGGTGAAGGGCAGTATAATAAATAAATAAATAAATAAATAAATAAATAAATAAATAAATAGAATAACCTCCCACTCTTCAGCTGATGAGAAGTTAAATCCTGCTCAAGCTTAGCAGGACTGCATGAAAACCCCTTCCTGAACCAGGAAAGGGCTTGCATGGGAACCCCCTGCTAAAACGGGAGGGAGGGCCCTCTTTTTGGCAGCACCTTGCAAGATGTTTGAAGTCCCAAGTTTGTGCCCAGTGTTGTTGTGACATTTCTCGCAGTTTATCATCATGCATTGTGGGTTTTTGAACAGATATTCCCTAAGACCTTTTGTGGGTGACATAGAAGGTAGTGGCAGGCACCCTGGCACCCTGGAGTGTCATGTAGACGATCCCTAGCAAAGAGCACCCCAGGACTGGTTTCACACCTCCAATGAAGATATCAGACAGGTATTTCCAAAACACTATTCTCCAAAGCAGCTAGCATTAAGGCATGTTTGGCTGGGAAGGGGCTTCCAGGTCAAAGATCCCAAGCCCTTCACCCTCTCTGCAGCAGCCACTGGGGCTCCTGTCGGGAACCTACAGTTTTGTATTCTGCTTCCCCTGCATTAAAGCCCACCAGGGGTATTATTACTGCTGCTGCTGCTGTATTTATTTATACCCTGCCTTTTTCCCTAATGGGACTCAAGGCGGCTGACAACTAAAATAGAAACAGCTAAAAACATATTAAAAAGCAATCATCAAAAAACAATTAAGTGTTAGTAGAATATATGTGTGTGTGTTAAAAATTGTATTATTTTGGTGTGTGCGCACACACACATAAAAAAGATCATTAAAATAAAAAACATCACAGCACCAGCCCTTTCCTTAAAAGTAAACAGCCATAACAGGGAAGACAGTTCCAAAGGGCTGATTGCAGCAAGTTGCTGATTCTGTGGGTTCACCCTATCTATAATATAATTAGTTAATAGGATCTTATTTCCCAAATGACTCTTGAAAATTGGGCTTGTAAAGCCGGCTTGACTCTCATATCATCCATAAGATATCTGCTGTGGCACTTGGCTTAGGGTTCTTGCTTTTACCATAAGTTCTTTTCCCAAGTACAGAGTTGCCTTACTCATTATTCCATGTATTTATGTCTTTTCTTTCTCTTTATCTACTTGCTCGCCAAAGTGTTGGAGGGGACATTGCTTTGGAACATTGAGCAGAGATAAAGCATATTTCTGAAGAACGTTCTGGAAACCATGTTCATTCACAGGCTGGAATGTTACATCTGCTGGAAAGGGGGATGTGTTACAGATGGAAGCAGTACCCTGGACAGTGATGGGCTCCTAAATACCCAAGTCGCTCCACCAAGCCAGGGTGGTAACTGGCTCTCCTCAACAGGGAGGGCTTATAAAAGATTCCTGAATGAGCAGTGATGAGAAACCAAAACAACAACTCATTGCCAAAAAGGATCTGCACCCTCAATGTTGTGGGCCCAACTCTATGGAACTCCCCACAAGAAGTTAGACAGGCACTGTCCCTACTGAGTTTCAGACACCTGGTCAAGACCATTATGTTTCAGGAGGCCACTGCACCCTGAATGCTTCTCGGATGTTTTGCGTTACTTTCTTTTTTCTTTTTAGATTCTTTAGATTTTAACTTTCAGTGGTTTAATTTAGTTCTTAAATTATGTATATGGTATAGCTTATTGTTGTAAGCCGCTTTGAGACCTAGATGGTGAAAAGCAGGATACAAACTTTGAAATAAAAATAATAATCTGGAGTCTAAGAACAAATGGAGAGCCACAAGTACCCATGTGCTACAGTTTTGGATAATAATAGGTTTCTCCTGGATGTGGCTCACATAAAGTCTTGGCTTCTTCCTTGATTGACTCACTTGGCTCCTTCTCCTGGGCCCTCAGCTGCCTATGACTCATCAGGGATAGGGAACTTGCAGCCCTTCAGATTCTGCTGAACTGCAACTCCTTCACCCCAGACCCCAGCTGGGGCTTGATGGGCATTACGGTCTAATGACATCTGAGGAGCCACAGGTTCCCCCATCCCTGCTCCTGCTAACACCTGCACCTCAAGGGAGGAGACACACAGGTAGCCAAGGGATGCCAACTGAACTGAAAGTGGCTGCCCACCGTCTGCCAAGTCACACAAGTTTGACAATCCAGCACTTCTCACTTTTAAATTGCAAAAAACTCACAAGACTGAGGCATGGCCTGACCTGTCTTCTTTGTTGACTTGGGAGTAGTAAGACCTCTGGCGGATAGCAGAGTAGAAGGAAAAGGCTTCATTCAGGTAGCTGGTTTCAGACGTGCGAAGGCTGTGTGGGAAGAAACACAAAGGGCTCAGTGCTCTGCTAGATGAACATGTACCCCTCCTGCCCTTGGCTGAGAGGGCGGTCCGTCTCACAGCAGTCCTCCTGGCACTTCTGCCATTCCACTGAACTTTTTGCCACTCTTAATTGCTAAGGCCAGCAAGACTTTCACTACAGAGAGACTGAGACAGCGAGACAGACAGACAGACAGACACACTGCATCCAGGAAGGGTTGTCACTTACTAGTAGTGGTAGTAAAGCTGCCCAATCTTGGAAGCAATTTCGCCAATTTGCCAGCGCTTTAATCCGTACCGATTGTCCAGAACTTGCCTTTATTTTTGCGGAGAAGAAAGGGAGAGTGTCACGTTCTATATGTTTATACACATACATATATTGATTAAAAATAACAAAATATAATACTGAGTGCCCAAAATAAAAGGAGTACCTAGAACTGAACATAGCAGGATATATTTATGTACCAAAATTAAGTACAGCAAATCAATATTACAAGGTTCCAAGCAACACAATTATTGCTCCAGTAAATTATAATGACACTCCTTTCTCCATTATCTTGCTGTCTTCCCTCTCTGGTTCTGATTATAAGTGTGAGCTTTACCATACATACTATGCCCCAGATTTTAGTCATCCATTCTCTCATGGATAGTGTACTCATTTCCCCCCAAGATTGTCAATAATAATTCTGGAACCAGTCAAGAAATGTTGCATTAATTCCCTGAGAAATCCTCAAACTCTCAAAAGGCAGTATTAAGCTCATTTGCTGATAACAACATTTCTCCCACCGCCCCCCCCCTCTCACACACACCACCTCAAGGGGCATTTCTATACTACATGCTTCTACCAATTTAACTGGCATAGTATCACCTCCTCCCCACAGACATTTCTGGGAACTGTAGTTTGGCAGAGGTGCTGAGAGTGTTTCATACTGATTCCTGGCTTCCAACAAGTAACTACCTACTCTGTGAGAGAAGATGAACGACAAGGAAAGTCATACTTCTACTCTATTCTACCTTGATCAAGCCACACCTGGAGTACTGTGTCCAATTCTGGGTACTGCAATTTAAGAAGGTCATTGACAAGCTGGAACATGTTCAGAGGAGGGCAACCAAGATGATCAAAGGTCTGGAAACAAAGCCTTATAAGGAACAGTTGAGGGAGTTGGGTATATTTAGCCTGGCTAAGAGGAGACTGAGAGGAGGTAGGACAGACATCTTCAATAGCTAAAAATGGCTGTCACATGGAAGATGGAGCAAGCTATTTCCTGCTCTGGACTGTAGGACCTAAACCAATGGATTCAAGTTACAAGAAAGGAGATTTTGGTTACCGTAAATATCAGGAAGAACTTTCTTACGGTAAGAGCCGTTTTACAGTGGAACAGACTCCCTCAGGAGGTGATGGACTCTCCTTCCTTGGAGGCTGGATGGCCATCTGTCACAGATACTTTAGTTGAGATTCCTGCATTGCAGGGAGTTGGACTAGATGACCCTCAAGGTCCCTTCCAACTCTACAATTCTATGATTCCATGACTGGAAAAGCAGTTAACTTGCACTATGAATTGTATTTTCTCCATTGAGTTAATGTTCTATTTTTCTGAGGGTTGTTTAAGGCTCTCTTGCCCAGGAAAGGAGGGTGGCCTGAGCAACCTAGCCAACTGGCACCATCACACACACCACTCTGGCCCACGTGTTCCTGGAAGAGGTAGGCAGCCATCTTGATGCAGAGTTGGCTCTTACCGGTGCTGCTGCTGGAACTTCCAGAGCTTGGTGTAAACATCAAAGGTCCGCCCAAAATACGATTGCCACTGCTTCTGCCCATACTGAGGCAAGTCTCTGCAAGAGAGCCAATAGGAAGAGTCCATGTTACCAAGCAGGGAAGAAAGGAGGAGGGGCATTCACTGTGGGAAGAGACAGTCCAGAGACAACCTGGTGCTACTTATTTCATCATGCCTGTCTCATAATCCTAATGCTAACATTCATGTATCTACTTTACATTATGGAAAACTGTCCATTTGCTTTGCTTTGCTTTGCTTTGTACACCTCTTAAGGTATCACAATTAAATTTGGCACAATGGTTCCTGAGAAGAAACAGCAGGTTTTCATCTATGCTTGAAGAGAATTGGGCACCATTCTGAATCAAGATGATAGGTGGAGCCTTTCAAAACTGCACTGATTTTAACCACTGATTTCAACAAGGCATGGATTGTTTTTTGTTGTTTCTAAGAATTCCTGAGCAACACAGGGTAGGCAGTTGCTATGTTCCTATATACATATCCATCCAAGATTGGGGTTGTGGGTCATTTTTGTCATTAAAAACATAGATTTTGGAGTGAGGGGGAAGATTAAGATCCTCCTTACTAGTATTGTATTCTTCTAAAGATGTCACATACTATACTTCATACCCCATAAATAGTAGGCTCTATTTATCAATGAATAAAACGGCATTTGTCCGACTACTTTCACCAAAAAGAACTGACCCAAAAACTTATAACAGCAGCAGCTTTGGTTTCCTAGGTATCAAGATATACCTTCCCATAGGCTTATCAATAACACACTTTAATATGTGAGTGACCATGTTCAACAACAGGTCCCTGGTTCAAATTTCTGGCATGCAAATCTCACTGACAAAACCCACAGGCACAGCCTTTAGTACTTCCAAACCTATTCACAAGACCACAGCAAGTCCCCTCCCATTCTTAAAATCAGCACCATTCAAGCTTAGGAAACAATCGCCTCCCCTCTTGGAAGGGAATGAAATACTCTATCCACTTATCTGTTATATACGGTAATTTAAGAACATAAGAAAAGCCTGCTGGATCAGGCCAATGGCCCATCTTATCCAGCATCGTGTTCTTGCAGTGGCCAACTAAATGCCTGTGGGAAACCTGAAAGCAGGACCTGGGCACAAGAGCAGCACTCTCCCCTCCCTATGATTTCCAGCAACTGGTATCCAGAAGCATTTACTGGCTCCAACTATGGAGACAGATTACAGTCATCTTCAGGCTCTGGGGAGGGTCTCCTCATGACCCATGAGGACTCTCCAGGATGCTCCCCACTTATGCACATTTCACTTTTGTGCATGGAGCGCATAACATAGCCCACAACATGAATGGGGAGTCACCTGTACTTTTAACACACAGGCCTAGAAAGAAATCTGATGGGCAGCAGCTCTCTAGCTTCTGAGCTTTCAGTAGGTATCATCCACACACATCTTTCACAGCCAGAAGGGTTACAAAAAACTTCCTTTAAACATTCAGATTCTACTTGCACCAACACATTCTGGACCTTTCCTGTGGCCCCACAGCATCAATGCAGCCTCCTGATGCCAATGCCTTAGTAATTTCTCCAACGCTACCTAAATTCCTTGAAGAACACTGGTATCCGCAAAGGGAGGTGCATGTCCAGCATTGACAGCACAAAGCCTACTGAGGATGCACCACATCCTTCAGCTGCAGGAGGGGACACCCTCTTCCTCAGCACACTGACTTTCACACACACAATTCCTGCTTCCTCACGATTTATAATAGGAAGAAGCTATTAGCTCAGCATGCAGCCGCAACAAAAAGCCTTTGCAGAATGCAGGCAATTATGGGGTGGGTGGTGAAGGAATCTGCAATGCGTCTTAGGCTTGGCTATTCTTCAGGGAAAACAACATATGTGGCCCAAGTGCTTGTTTTGGCCCTGCAGGGAACTGGGTCCATATAGGGAATGGGATCACAAAGTGGTTGCTTTTCATAACCTTCCCATAAACTCTTGCACTTTCCCGCAGAGCTGCTCACTTGCTTTTATACCAGCACTGGGTTCTCAGACATGCAGCTCACCAACAGGGTCATTAATGAGCAGTTGGGACAATTTGCAAGAATCCATGCCATATTCAGCACAAAATGATCTTTCTTCCCCAAGATAAGCTTAAACATAACACTGTTTGCTGCAAATTTCAGAGTGAACCAAGGAAAACTGGCTGCGGAAGATGCCTACTGGCTAGTATCCGTGACAAGAGAAAGATTGTGAGCAGCTCTGCAACTATTTCACTAGAGATCCTCTTGGGTGCTAAGATTAGCAGAGCTGGCCTTCTTAGTGGTTCCTCTGCTCTCAGGAGCTTGGGGTGTTGTTGTTTTTTGCAATGACACAGGAGAGGGTGTTTTATGTGGCAGCCCCTAAGTTGTAGAATTCCCTCCCCATAGAGGGCCATCTGACACCTTCATTATAATGATTCTGGTCGGAGTGCTAAAGACACACTTCCTTACTGCAGCTTTCGACATCTGAGGTGTACAGTTTTAGAATCCACCTTATTTCTGTGATTGTGTTGGTTTTAAACTGTTTTAATATTGTATTTTAATGTTGTAACCCACCTGGGACCTTAGGATGAAGGGCAGGTAATAAATTTTAATAATATTAACAATGACAATTATTAAGCTTGTGACTTTGCCTGGGGAAGGATAGGAGCGAAAACAAGTTGCAATATGGACATTTTTTTATTTAACAGGATTTGTTTAGCAATTGTGGGAACCCTCTAAGTGATTTACGTAAGATGGACATATTATTAACACTTGCCACTTGAAGAAGAAAAAGTGGACGGTCAACATGATCTGTCATCCGAGGGGTAACACCAGCCTTGTATTTCAGCCCTTGACTTGTAGCCTCAGGACAGATGAAACAGCATGCCGGCAAGTGAGAAAGCTGGCAGAGTAGGGTGAGAGTAATCTACCCCTTCTCTGGGCCTAGCACAGAAATCAAGGCAGGAAGGCCCCCTTTCCTTTGCCCAGAAAATGCTGTTGGCCAAAGGCCACTCAGCAACCTGCCCCTCTTTTGCCAGTCAGTTCCCTTCAGGCTAGTCTGTTTAAGGAAAAATGAAACTGCAGACTAGCACATTTTGTGGGCTTATTTCCAAGGGTGATGCTAACAGAATTCAACTTGTGGGGATAACATTATGCTTGCAATACAAGTTGTGAAGGCAGAACAACAAGGAAGAACCCACCATTAATTATTATGGGTTACTGCCAACTAAGTCCTACTTAGAGAAGACCCACTGAAATTCATGGGCCTAAGTTTACCATGGGTCTTCTCTGAGTAGGGCTTCCTTTTGCTACAACCGTACACATTCTGCACCAGATATCAGATCACCCTTGACTGGTTTGAAAATGCGCTAATTCACATTGTGCATGTAAACCTAAGATTTCTTGGCCAAGGATTCAAAAAACCATTGTCCTGGAAAGCATAACATAGGCAGCTTCCCATCTGTCTATCCTGCTAGCAAAGTACTGTCTCCTTTCACTATCAGCAGCAATTTAGGATCATGGACAGAGGCCTTTCCCGTTACCTATTACCTGACCCTTTTTAAAAAATCAGCATCTATATGCATTAGCCACTTTCCCTACAAAAGATTAGGAGATAACTAGAGGTGCCTAGGACTGAAGCTGTGACCTTTTGCATAGGAACATAGGTAAATGACTACGGTGAACACCACTGCTAAAACACTCCATGCAGCAAGTACGAGGGCATCCTTTTCCTCCTCCTCCTCCTCCTCCTCCTCCTCCTCCTCCTCCTCCTGAGCTTAGAAATACCCCACGTGCAACCCAGAGGAGAGCTTCCCCTCCTTCTGAGCATAGCAGTCTTGGGGTTAATCCATGATCTCATCTGGGCTTCAAAGGTAACCTGAGTACCTCCAAAGCTCAGTGCAGCATCAGACATCAGATCCTCCCACCAGGGCTGGGTCAATAGACACTATACCTTTTTTCTTCTTTTGCTTTCCAGGACACCCAGCTCCCCCACCCCACCCTAAAATGTGTGGGTCCATCCTCATATAACTTGATTTCAAAGCTGAATGGGTGAACTTAATTCTTCAGCATTAAAGTATTACTCAAGTCAGCCAGACCCCTGGGGGTTTGCCAGTAGTTTCTCCATGACCATCTCTTTCAGTTCTAGAACCTAGTTCTTTAAGCAGTGTCAGAATGAAAGATTGAATCGTTTTATTTTGGTCACTGACCAGAGTGAAGCAGTGTCAGAAATGGGCTGGATTGGTATGGCTCCCCTTAATCACATGCACAGCCCAACAAGACAACAACATGAACCCACCGACAGCATACAATTCAATATGGCTAACTTAATCCAACAACACGCCCCCCTTCACACAAGCACAAACAAATCCCACTGCAGCCAGCCAACCAAAGACCATCAACCACACCCTAGGCCACCCCAACCTCTCTCACCACCAAGGAAACATAACAAGAATAGAAAGAGAACCTACCCAAGTGACACTGACACAAAACCTGTACATATACACTAAGTAAAAGAACAAAAGCTTTACCACCACCCCCTCTCTCCCGCCCACCCCTCTTTTCTTCCCAACCCTATACTGCATTTAACACCAATGTCTCACAACAAATGTAACTGGTAGAAAGCACAACCTGAAAAGAGACAGGGCATGTGCTTTTGTAAACAAGGAAAATCTTTTAATAAAAATTGTTTAAAAAGAAAAAAGCAACTGGCGAGATTTATTTCGCTCCAAATTTTTGGTCTAACACTAAAAGCAAACAGCCAGTCCAGAGCAGGCTGGATATTGACTGACATTCACCATCCAATCCCCACCACTCGCCACTGTAAACAGATACTGCTGTTGTGGTCGGTTGGTGCTCTGTACCTCCCCTTCCTGCTCTTACACTCACTATTATCCTGGGAGACGGTAACTCAGGTAACTGCTGCTTACCCACAGGCACCAGCGAGTGAACCTGAGCCAAGAGCAGCAAACACCAAGTGATCCCCACAGGCCTGCAGGCACCAAGCCCAGGCTCTCTGTAGAGCCAGTCAAACACAGTACCATTTGCTCCAGTTTTCATTTCTGGAGAAATGTATTGGCTCGTGTTTTTCTGAGCCAAAAGATACAGCCAGAATTCTGCAGCAGCGCACCCTCCCCTTTCCACTTCTCACTTGCAGGCAGGTTGCTTTACCAGACAGTGTGCATGCATGATTAGAGGACACACACACATGCAGCAAAGACTATAAATGCCTGCACTCAAGAGCTCTTCTACAAGAAGCAGTTTTGTGTGCACAGCTGAATGAAGTGGCAATGAGGCCGCAGCATGGACTGTACCACTGTGAGGGGAGGAAGGCAGATCACATTACAACAAAGCAAAAAGCAAAGCAAAGCAAAGCAAAACAAGACAAAAAAACCTAACTCCTTCGAGTAGAGAAGTAGCTTGAAGCAGGCAAGGCAAGAACCTTTGTCTCTGATGTGAGACTTCAATAACATGTATTTACAAAGAAAATCATGTAGTGCAACATTCAATAACGTGAACCTGCTTCTGAAGCCTGACATAAGGAGCTGAGACCCAGTTACAGAACTCAGTTCCAAGTGGTATCAAGGCAAAGCCCATCTCTAGTCTCTTTCAAATGGGTCTTACAAGATGTTTTTCTTTGCTGTGGCCTTTGGGGGTTAGTTTGATTGCAGTTTGAAATGGGCTATCTTGCCTTATATATTTCGGGGTGTGACTGGTTATTTTATGTGTTTTCAATATTTCATTTCTGTGAATGTGATTATAAACCATACTGAGAGTCAGTCTTCTCTGAAAAGTGGTATAAAGTCTTAAATACATGCTTACCAGTGGAGCCTCATTCATTTAGGCTAATAGGGGGCACTGCCCCACTAACCTCAGTCCACCCTCAGCTAGCCCCCAACTACCTACCTTCTGGCTCACAACCAGTCAAGGAGGAGAACGTCCCTGCTGTATTCATCCTCCTTGGCCTCAGGGATGCCCTTGTGGAACTCAGCAGGCAGGAGGCTGGGAGCAGAACTACAATTGGTTGGCCCTAGCTCCATCTATTTTTGGCTCTGGCTCCATCTACTGTTGAGCTCCCAGTCTTTCACTCTATCAGTCCCAATGGGCATCAGTCATCACTGATGTTTACATAAATACTTAACAGCTCAAGATTCCACCACCTCATTCTGCTGCCATGTATTCATTCAGGTTATGCAGGATGAGAAGGTAGTTTTGGGTCACACCACTTCAGACAGAAGGGAACTGCATATGGAAAAGTAGGGTATAAGCTTAACTGTGAAAAGATGCAGTTCACCACCTCCACCATTTCACTATACCAAGCTCTCAGGCAGCTTCCAAGGGGGCTTGCTAAAGAGCCTTGGTTCCTTTCTTCCAGAACAGACCCTTCTTTCTACCTTCCACTCGGCGGACCTTGACAGTCTCAAAAACAACAACCGCTGCCTATAGGAGGCTGCTTCACATAAGGGATGCCTCTGGCACAAAGGGAGGAATTTAACATTTGAGCCACGCAAAAAATAAAACAATTGCCAGAGTCACCTTGGGTAAAAGAGGGAAGGGGAAAAGCAGATTCAGTATGACATAAAAGAGTTTAAATGAGAGGATTCTTGGATGCACACCTCTTTGATGCCTGCCAATGAAGCAGCATCAGGGCCGATCACTATCTTGCTTTTCATTAATTTGGTTTTTTTCAGCTTGCCATTGAAGTTATAGCAACAGGTAGTGGGCTTTGAAGCACTGCCCCTCTCCCTACTTGCACAGCTCTTTGTGAATATTAGCTCTAAAGCAGGAAGGTACAGGATCATCATACTGGAGCAAGCAACTGGTCAAGGCTGCGGAGGCAGTTTATGGGAGACAAATTCTTGCTGTGTGTGCCCATTTTGAGCATACACAAAGTTTGAGGTATGTTCAGCACTTTACAAATTCCACTTGCATCTAATTATAACCAAGGATCAGTCTTTAACACATAGAACCATAGGCAATCCTGGATTTTGGATGGGGGTCTGTCCTAGTCCTTGTTCTTTCTAGAGATGCCAGGGACTGAACCTGGGACCTTCTGCATGCAAGACAGATGCTCTACCACTGAGCTGTGGTCCTTCCTCAAAACAACACAGGGGTGGGAAACCTGTGGCCCTCCAGATGTTTTGGGAGACTCACAGTAGGAAGACCTGGATTCAGATTATTGGCTAAAGCTCACTGGGTAATAGAGATCAGAGAATTCCGATGAAAACAGAAACAGCAGCAGAAATTGTTAATGTTCACTTATTCATCCCATTTCAGGAATTGATATAAATCCAGCAAACATGATTGGCATTTGCTGTTGTTACTGCTTTCAGTCTGCAAATGATATGTAACTGGCTGCATTCCCACCTCCACCACCATTTGCATTGTGTTTCCTTTGCATTAAAATGAATGGGTTGGAATAACATAATGACAATATAATTTACATAACTATTTAAGCAAGTTACATAATTTTGCCACAGCAGACAGCGAGACAAATAACTATTTTTGATAGAAAATGAACTGCAGCAGAACAGAAACAAAGCGTCATGCAATGACTACAGGGCAGAATGGAAAACAATGCCTTCCTACATGCCAACAGGGCCATTCTCTATGTCTGTCTCTGAAACAGGTTAGGCTGAAAGGGAAAGAAAGTCGGTTGGGTGGATAAAATGGGGTTGGAAGAAACAATCATGAATACCACTCTGAGATCCTTAAGGGAAGGATAAAAATGTGAATAAAATAGAAGTGCCCCCCTAAGGAGGCAGAACACAGAGGCACCAAGATTTTGCAATTGTATAGCAGACACGATATCTAAAGGACAATCTGACAGCTCTGGCAGAATCCTCGAGTTTGGGCGGTCGCTGTTTCTAAAGCCACAAACACACAGCCTCTGACTAAAATGATGTTCCAAAGAAATAACTTCTAGCTCTTTAAAGAAAAAAGAAAAGAAAAAGCCTAAAGACCAATTGTTTTCTTCCACATTTTAGAGTTGAGTTTCTTCACACACAAACCCATATGGCTTCACTTGGTAATCCCTGCTCTTTTTCCTGCAATGGACACAGTAACTGCCCAGTCTCCTGTTTCATCTCCCCAAATCCTTCTGCTCATTTATGTCAGCTATGTACTCATTTCCCAAGGAAAAACATTAAATTCTGCATGAAGGCAACCCAATGCTCCACACCAAGAATCCTGTATGCTGTACACACTTCAGGAGACTGAGGGTGTTCGGGTGATCTCTTATTTTGAATCACATACTGTATTATATCCTTGTGGTAGGTGCCAAGCACTTGAGAACTTCCAGATAAAGCCTCAGAAGCCAGAGGGGTGGATCCAGGAAGGTTTCTGGAGTTGGAGTGGAGATTCAGCATACTGCAGAGCTCTGTGTTATTAGCAAAGCTAGAGTTGTGCAAAACACGAGGAATGCAAAATCTGCATAATTAATACAGTTTGTAGATTTAAACTTAAATCTACCCAGTAAGGAATCTAGATTGCCAGATTCCAGAATTTTTGAGTTGTTGGTTTCTCCCCCAGCTCAAGCCCTACCTATACAAAACATCTGAAAGTGACTGACCTTAAGCCATTGAAGAGCTGTTTGGATTTATCCAGCAGATAACAGAAGTCCGTGACAGTTTTCCTCTCTCCCTGAGGGATGTCATCCTCCATGCCGCCTGTCGACATGGCTTCTTTCAGGGCAAACTCAGTCCTAGAAAGGGAATACAGGCAAAAATCTAGATTAGCCATGGGTGGCAGGAAGGTCAGAATGAAAATGCTGCAGCTTATGGCACATACAGTGTCATAAGAATGAAAAGGGGAAAACACACACACATGCAAACACACATCACCCTCCCCATGGAGGCCTACTAAAATCCACAAGGAGAGAGAGTCTCAGCAAGTGACTGTCATTTGCTGTTTCTTTGCTCCAATCATTACTGAATTGCATACATCAAGGGGGCCTATTAAAGTTGTGGGTTGTTGTTGTTGTTTAAAAAAGATCCCTGTGCCTGTTCAATTAAGTCTCTCTAGCTTTGTCCGCTGGTAGAGCTGTAGGTTTACCCCACAGCAGGAATTTAAGAACAGCTCTCCTAGATCAGGCCAATGACCCATCTAGTCCAGCATCCTGTTCTTGAGGTGGCCAACCTGAAGCCTGTAGGAAACCTTTAAGCAGGACTTGAGCACAACAATACTCTCCCCTCCTGCAGTTTCCAGCAACTTATAAGTAAGTGTAGATGTGTGGGTGTAACACCCCCCCCACACACACATATAAAAGTTTTTCATGGTACAATAAGATAATGGCTACAAAAACTAGAAAAAGAACAGGTAGAATATGGAGTCCTCTCCTAGAGGCAATTCTCAGCCCCCACTACCTACAGAGGGTAGCAGTCCCTCCCAGATCTCACCTGGGATCCTTCTTTTCTCCTCCCAGCCTCTCACACTGGGAGACCAACATTACCCTGTCTCCCACCTAGGGCCCTCCATCAACCATCTACCACCCCCATGAGCACACAATCCCCGAAACTTAACAAAGGCCCAAACATAGGGCTCCAAAAGGAAACAGAAGAAAAAAAGGAAAGAAAGAGGGAGAAAAAAGACAAAAGAAAAAGAAATATTAGAGATAGATTAAGAGGGCTTCTGATTTTTTGTCTGCTGGTTACATGTCCATGTTAAAATCCCTCCACTATGTGATCCCTCCAATATGTGAGTACATATTGGAATAGTATTCCGTATTTCCTCATTCTATATACTTTAATTCAAGCCCATTTTCTTATGTTCAAATTCTGTTTCCTGTTGTTTCCTGTTGTATTTATGATAGAATCCCAATCTCCTCCTCTAGGACCTCCCATTTTCGTTTTTCCAAGTCTTTTTCTAGAGGGAGTACTGTGAATTTAATAGTATCATTCTCTGATTTCACCCCAAATCATATGCAGAGTACTTTGCTAGAAATGAAGAGAGACCAGGACTGAAGTTTTCCCAAAGCCTTTTCCCCCACTCTCAGCTCCATCAATGCCATATCCAGTTAATTTTCCATCACTGCATTTATTACTCCTCTCCTTCTTTTCAAAACCCTTGAATGGAGGGCATTTTCACTTCACCATCCAGCAACTGGTAAGTTACATGAGCAAGGGGGAGAACGGGGAGGAAGAGAGGAAAAATCGAATTTGCTTGATGCAGCTTCTAAACACCAGCTTGCCATACTGCAAGTGGCTTCCCAAACACTTGATAGCTGAGGCAAAAAAAGATTAAAAGGGACCCAAGAACATGCACATCACCTTCCACCTCTCAGCTGTGCAATCAATTGCTAGCATAACTGTTCTTTACAACAGCCCCATCCTGCAGTATGTCACACAGTGCTAATGAATACTAAAAGGGGAAATTAAGAAAAGTAAAGTCAAGACCACAAGATACCTTCAATTAGGGCTGTTAAACTTGTAGCCCTGCAGATGTTACTGAACTCAAACTCCCAGCAGCCCAAGCCACCAAAGCCAACGGTCCAGATTACAGGGGTAGGCAGCCTAAGGCCGGTGGGCCGGATGCGGCCCAATCGCCTTCTCAATCCGGCCCGCGGACGGTCCGGGAATCAGCGTGTTTTTACATGAGGAGAATGTGTCCTTTTATTTAAAATGCATCTCTGGGTTATTTGTGGGACCTGCCTGGTGTTTTTACATGAGTAGAATGTGTGCTTTTATTTAAAATGCATCTCTGGGTTATTTGTGGGGCATAGGAATTCGTTCATTTCCCCCCCACCCCCAAATATAGTCCGGCCCACCACATGGTCTGAGGGACGGTGGACCGGTCCACGGCCGAAAAAGGTTGCTGACCCCTGGTCCAGAATGATGAGAGTTGCAGTCTGACTGTGCCTGGAAGGCTACATACAGGTTCCCTACCCCTGCCTTTGATTGACAGGTTTTTCCTCATCAGCAGACCTCCTCTGCCAGCCTTACCCTGTCTGGATCCAGCCATACTTTTCAACATGTGCCAATAACTAGCAGGAGAAGTCACCAACAGGTAAAATGGAAAGCAGGCGAATTAAAGGATCAAGGGTGCTGGTTACACGAATGCAACTGCTGCAAAGATTTGCTTCAGACGTGAAAGGGTGCCGGCCAGTCATCTCTTGCAGGTTTTTGCTTAATTATGCTCCAGGAGCCCCCAAACAATTACTGCTTCAAATAATGAGGTTTGCTAATGAGGTGTTGAAAAGCTCTGGTTTCAGTGTAAAAGTGATTGCTGATTTCTTCGTGCCAAAAGTTGTGCTTAACACACACACACACACACACACACACACACACACACACACACAGGTTATGAACAGAAGAATGATTTGTTCATTAAAAAAACCCCAAACCAAATCATTTATATTTTCCAACTCATCTCCCACCTTTATTATTTTACCTCTTGAAAAATATTCAAATTCACACTACTATCTGGAGTTCCATGCCCACTTTACTGACAAACATGGCGCTGCTCGACCACCCCCACAAAAAAAACCCTACCCTGTCACACTGAATATATTCTAATGTGTGGTGATGGGTTTCTTCAGGCCATGCAGTCTACCAAGTGCTGATTTAGATGGGAAATAACTCCATGTTTCTGAGGGGGTGGGAATAGAGACCAAGGGGACTGATGGGAGGCTTGGCAAGAGCGACTGGGAGACACAGTTAATGCTGATTATTTTAATGTGGGGCAACATTTATTTTGAATGGGATGTGCATGCATAAGCAAAGGGATATAGGTGCGACCTGTGAAAAACACAGGGAAGTCTTTTTGGGCCTCAATGATAGTTGAGAGCAAGAAATGGTGGCAGGTACTATTTTTTTAAAGAGCAAAGCAAAATGAAAAGAGAAGGCTTTTTAACCCTGTGAGGAGGTTATGTGGAAACAGTGCCTTGGCCACTCATAGTGAGGATCACAGACAAAACAGGTTTGAAAACAGGTTTCCCATGTCACTTTCCCAAACTGTAGTCACTGTTACTATATATCTATCACCCACCTTTTCCTTCAGGGAGCTGAAAGCAATGTACATGGTTATCACCCTCCTCATTTAATCCACACAACAACCCTGTGAAGTAGGTTAGGTAAAAGGCTGTGAATGGCCTAGGGTCACTCAATCAGCTTCATGGCCAAGTGGGGCTTTGAACCCTTGTCTCCCAGGTTCCAGTCCATGGGTAGGCAAACTAAGCCCCAAGGACCAGATCCAGCCCAGTCGCCTTCTCAATCTGGCCCGCGGACGGTCCAGGAATCAGTGTGTTTTTACATGAGGAGAATGTGTCCTTTTATTTAAAATGCATCTCTGGGTTATTTGTGGGGCCTGGCTGGTGTTTTTACATGAGTAGAATGTGTGCTTTTATTTAAAATGCATCTCTGGGTTATTTGTGGGGCATAGGAATTCGTTCATTATTTCCCCCCCCAAAAAAAAATATAGTCCGGCCCCCCACAAGGTCTGAGGGATAGTGGACTGGCCCCCTGCTGAAAAGGTTTGCTGAGCCCTGTTCTAGTCTGACACACTAACCACTGAATCTCAGTGTGTCTCTACATAGGGTTGTGCTAGAGGCAAGCTATGACTCTTGTGGTGGCAGGAGTTAGGCAGGCATTTGCATAGCAAATAAACAAGAATAGGGGCAGGAAAAGTGTTATGGTTTATTTATACACGTTTGCCTCCCTCCCCCTCCAAATTGTGTGGAGTTGGACATTTTTCCAGGTAAGTGCAAAAGTGTTAATCGGGAGGCGGGTTTAATTTCTCTTGTGTAATGGGAACAGTATTTCTCCACAGTCCTCAAACATATGACACACTATACACCTGCCACTCATCTTCTCACTTGAGATAACATCAGAATACAACATCACATCTTCTATGTTTAAGTCAGCAGCTGCTGTATTATTCAAAGCAGCAGGGCAAATTGCCTAAAAGTCATCAGGTCACATCACAGTGGTAGAACATCTGATTTGCATCCAGAAGGGACCAGGTTCAATCCCCAATGGCACATCTTTGCTGGGCTGGGAGAGATCTCCTGCCTGAAACCCAAGAGCTGCTACCAGTCAGAGTAGGCAACACTGAGCTAGATGAACAAACAGCCCAACTCTGTATGAGGCAGCTTCCTATATTCTTAACAATGAGGACTAGAATGCTGCCGGAGGCAGTATGTTTCTGTTTATTAGTGCTTGGAAATGGAAGGAGGGAGGAGTGTTATTGCAGTCAAGTCCTGCTTTCAGGCTTCCTGTTGGAGCATCTGGCTTCCCACTGTGAGAACAGGATGCTGGCCTAGATGGGCCACTGGATTGATCCAGCGGGGCTCTTCTGATGCTCATCTGCTCAGTCATCACCAGAAACACAGTCCTCACTTTTGAGGCTGAAAATCAGCCCATTAGGTGGAGTGGGGGTGGAGGTGGGAAGGGGGGGAGGAGAGAAGTTCCTTCCTTCCTTCCTTCCTTCCTTCCTTCCTTCCTTCCTTCCTTCCTTGAAATTATCTCTGGAAATTGTTGATACCATTGTATTCACATTAAAAAGAGCAGAACATGTTGCTGTAGTTCTATCCCCAGAACCTTTACATGACGTGTACAAAAAAAAGAGAGTAAAAGACTAGGTGGAAAACACCAAGATTGAATTTACTTAAATAAGCAAGTAAACAAGATGGTGTGAACAAGCCAATGGAAGCAGAAACAGATGGAGAAATGGCAAGGCAGACCCAACAGAGAGGGGGGTGGGAATGAG